AGTTGGAATAAATCTTATATTTTCCAATAAATTATCTATTTAATTAGTACCCTGGTATACTCGTCACTTCCCTTGCATTCAAATTTAGAAGACACAGATATTTCAGAAACTGTTTGAAAAAGTGACTGGCCCGGTCTGGAACAGTATATTTATTATATTATCTATGTTCTCATAACACAATACTGTTTAATTTTCTCCGAAAACTATATAAACAAAATGAAGTCAAGAGTTGCCCAACTTTTGTAGAATCACCCATAGTTTTATTTAAGAAAACATAACCTCAAATATGCCTAATGTAGAAAAAGCAACATAGCAAATTAATTTTGCCCCATTATAAACTAATAAGTAGATTAGGATTAATCTATAGATCAGTTTCTTCTATTATCCGTGTTATTTTAAGACAATAGCATAGTACAACCTGTTATTTTTACTTTTTTTTTATTTAGGATCATCATCGAAAAGGAATTGATGGTACCAAGGCCGGTTGAATCGTTGTTTTTGACATTCTAAGATAAATTAAGTCCGTTTTAGATTTTTCTCATAGCCTTGGATCAAATTTATTTATAAATCGTTACCAAAATGCAAATTTAAACTGGTGATGAGTAAAAATGTTGTTTATTTAAATTAGGACCTGATTTGTTTTGGAAACTACCACTTAAAATTTGGTGTTTTATTTGTTATATAACGTTTCAAATTATACATAGTGAGTCATTTAATTTAAAACTTTGAAATATCCAATAGAACAACCTATTTTTAATTGCAGATTCGGATCATTCGAATAATGTTTTTTTTAATTTTTATTTCATTATATTTTAAAATTTGCCACTTAGGGGGTACATATTTACCAGTTGAAAGATTTGTCCATATTTGTTTTTAAGGTTTCAGAACTAAAAACATAAAAACCTCTTAACATAACCTGTGATATTTAATGGTAATATCGAACACATTTACATTATACAATTAACATAATGAGCATATGCATCAGTACGTCCTATTTCATAAAGATTCCTTGCAAGGTCACGCATTTTAGATGCTGTAATTTCAGTTATTCATATAAGTACTGACTAACTCGCTTAGAGAGAGTGAGAGGGAGTGAATGTGTTGGCAAATTTTACGAACGTTCCCACGAAAATGTTGCAAGTGGCGGTCAAATATAATTTATAAGTTTACCAGTCACATTTCGTTCGTTTTGATCTGTAAAAATGAATACCAAAATATTTGGACTCAATTTTACTTAACGAAATTTATGGTATTCAACTTAGTAATAATCGTCAAACAAATAAGTCGTCTAAATTTAAACAGCATTTAGCATTATTAAAAGCGTTGATTAAGAATTCCTTAAAGTCTCCACTCAACGGTAAAATACCATTATATTATGTATTATATATAATATTATGTTGTCATGAATTCGTAGGTATATTTTGTTTAAAATGCAGTTGTCGGCGTTTTTTAGAGAACTCAAATATAAAAATGGTAGATTTTAAGGTTATGTTTGTGCAAAAATTATTTCTACTAATTTCTTAAAAATGTCCAAACTTAAATATAAATTATATTAGGTACAGTTATCATTAGTTAATTCTGCACCAACAAATGTACTTACCGAATTGGATCCTTTGGCAAAACATGAAAATGCAACGATTTAGTTCTTGAATTTTATTTACAATTAAAAACGCAATAATTCACCATGATCCCTTAGATAAAATACACACACTAACGTAACTATATAAGCATTTAAGCGTTTAGTTTCTTAATCAATGATATAAAGAATAATCAATCGAAATCGAGTACTAAACCAGTTTTTTAGTTTTTTCCTTGCAACGTAAAACACAAATAACGTGCGCGATTTAGCTGTGCAATTGAACAAAATTTGTCGAGTAAGACTTCTGCCTTCCTCTCTTTTGGGGAAAAACTACCTATTTATTTAAAATTGATGTAGGTACAGTTCGTATGCTTTAAATTTTTTGAAAACCGCTAGGTTTTTTTCCAGTTTATAAATGTGACTTTGAGGTCGAGACTTTGTAACAATATGTGACAAAGGGTATAAAATCTCCAAAAATTAAATATTATATTTAATTATATAATTTGTTGTTTGGACCTTTACTTCATAAAACTCCATCTAAATACTGTGATAGCGAAACAATTGTATAGTTAAAATAAAATCGTAAAACTCTAAAACAGTGTAGTTTTATTATGTGTATACATTATTTAATTATATGTTTACATAATGACACTTAACTAAAGTTTCTTAAATATAACAAGAATCAAGATTATTTTAATTAAATGAGCTTGTAATTAGTATCAAGTTTATTTTAGTTTGTGTGAAAGAAAAAATGTTTCTTAATATTGTAATTCTATTTTTTTAACAAAAATACAATAGATTTGTGCATATTAAAAATAAACTAAACTCAAGAGTTATTATTAGAGTGTACTATCTAATAATGACTTCTTTAACAAATTTAAAAATATTATTTATCTACTGGTAGGAGCTCCTTGCATAATGTTGGGTTTTTGCGTATATAATAATAAACATTATAATTTCCCTGCTTAAGAACGGAATAATGAACTCATTATTCACGTTGGCATTAGTGATTTTCCACTTATAGATAGATAAAACATAGTATTACACTCGAGATTATGCGCATTATCTCTTGTATAATAATACACTATTATTTTTGGTACCTTTAACAAATTATTTCACTTATTTAAATCGATTTTGGTTTTAAAAAAATGGCGAATGCGCCGGGATAATTTATATTTTATTATTTTCTTTATACTAGTATAATTTAACATTGTAAGTATTGTTGATATTTTATTATCTGTATAACTTTATATATACATTGTGTCAGAAATTAATTAAGTAAGGTTTTTTTGTTAAAATTTAATTTATCTATTTTTTTAAATTCAATAACAACTTAGTTAACTTTATACGTACTCTAAAACTAATATTCAGAAACAAACTTTATTTTTTTTATAATTATTTATTAAATATGTACACTGTATATTTTACAGGGTGTCTTTTTTTCAAGGCTAAAAGATAAGAACTATATTTTCTAAAAAATAACTAATATTAATTTATATTTATATAAAAAGTATTGTCTACATATTCTGGCAATTCTTCTTATCGCTAAATTTGAGCCGCTTACGCAATACTGCATAATAAATAACAGGATACAGAGGAATGGAAAGTGAATCTTCAAGAGTACCAAGTACCTAAGTAGATACACACGAACAGTCAAGTTAATCGAATATAGACAGGAGGATCTAGATATCCGTAGCTTCGTACCTTACTACGACGAACGCTATGCCAGAGCATCGCATTGGACAAGTGAAAGTGTATAGGTAAGGTCATAGGATTCGTGATTTTTTTCTAGGCTATATCAGGATGAGCCTTCTTGCCTATACATACCTATCTATCCCGTGTGAATCGATTTAATAAAGCAATGTTGCCAATAGTCAATAATTAATATATTTGTATATTTTGTTAAAATGTTAAAATGAAGACTTTTTGTTTATGAAATAAGCTGTATAGTTTTCGGAAAATATTAAATAGTATTTTGTTATGGGAACATAGATAATATAATAAATATACTGTTCCAGACTGGGCCAGTCACTTTTTCAAACAGTTTCTGAAATATCTGTGTTTTCTAAATTTGAATGCAAGGGAAGTGACGAGTATACCAGGGTACTAATTAAATACATAATTTATTGGAAAATATAAGATTTATTGCAACTTTGAGCATATTATACATTAAATATCTTAAAATCAAATAATACCACACATCAGTGGCGGCTGGTGGATTTTGGGTATACCGATATCTCAATTATTGGATATGGGACCCACACCAAATTTATATGAGTTTATAATAACATTAAATAAAGAAGTTCTGCGCAAGCAGAATTTAAATTGAAGTTTAATTTGAGATTATAATTTGGAATAAAGTATTTTACTGATATTTTTTATTAGTGGAAATTACATATAGCCTTATATAAATTACAAAGAAATATACATACGTAAGAAAATAACTACTCACCACAGTACTGAAATTTTGACTGGAACTTACGTGCATTCACCACAACTTCGCCGCTTGCATTGTTTTCAAGATGACTGTCGTGCAAAGGGCGGGCTCTGTAGGTAATTTTTTACCAACACTTGAGTTAAAACGAGGACTTGACGTTTTCAATATTTCGCAGGAATTTTGAATTTTAACATTGGACACAGAACTGACGGGTAAAAGTGAGTACAAAGATTATCAATTTTAAAAAAATTGCTATTATTCGAATCTATGATAAAATATGAAAAATGCATTATTTAATGTTTTATAGTTTGTAGTGAAATTGAAAATTTAAGATAAATTGAATATATTTTAAAATAAAATCACTCAAATATTTGATTCAGGAGTTGTGATACGCCAAGGTACTGATGTTTTGAATATTTATTATGTTTTTCTACAAACGTGCTTTTGAAAAAATGCATTAAAATATTCACAAAAAATATTAAAATACCTACTCTATTGACTGATGACATCAAGTTGTCCAACTTTTGTAGAATCACCCATATATACATAGTTTTAATATAATTAAGCACGACAGGCAGATTGCTAATATAAGCTATATTTTATAGACATATATTTACCTTTATTCTAGATTAACCTTTAAAAGAAATACTAAATAGCTTGTTATTAAACAATCCTAAATCCGGTTATGAAAAAACGTTTTTATCCCCTCTTTAACAAAATTCAGGCTGAAAGTTGTGTGAATGGAGAATTGTAACATCCTTGACTATAATACTAGCAACTAATGTAGACATGTAGGTAAATGTACATAGATCCGCTTTCATAAAAAGTAATTACCAAAATTTATCGGTGTTACATTAAAAAATGCTATTATTTGAAATTACATTACATGTTTGTAATATTTTTTATTGAAGCATCCTTGGTGCTTGTATTAGTAATATTAAACTATATTACACTACAAACTTCTGAAAAAAATTAACATGAGAAACAATAAATACTTTATTTAAAATAAAAAAATACAAAACTAATCTATGTCCCTAATACTTGTACATAATTCAGAGAAGGAAAAACATAGTCTTGGTTGATCCTGCTCAGACTATAAGGCATTTGTTCCATGGTTAAAATAGTAACGACTTCGCTAAAATTTGGTCTTTCCATTGGATCCTCCAACCAACAACTCATCATTAAATCGTAGAGTTTGTCAGAAGATACTTGAGGCCTTTTTAGACGAACGCCTATTTTCAACTGTGGCAGTATCGAGTAGTCATCTATGGTCTCATAGGGGAAGGCACCTATATAACATGACACTTTAAAATACTAAACAGTAAAAAATTTTGCCCGTGTAAATTTTTTAGTGTAGGGGTAAAATATTAGAGTTGATTTGTAAGTGTAAAAGTTACCCTACAAAATACACTAGATAGCATTTAGTGCTTATTAACTTTATTAAACACATTTAAAGAATATGAACATTTTTCATTGGTACATTCACACTATTTATTATTAAAATAAATCAAAAGGGTAGAAAAACTTGATGCAAGTGTTTATTACCCCTTAATGTGTTAAATAGTGACAAAACATACACTACAGTGCATGCCAATTTCTTTGTTTGTTTTGATGTTACTAAGAGCTCTTTTTTCTTTACACTACTAGTGCACATTGTATCACAATTAAAGTTAAATTACACCAATAGTGGCAAAATAGACTAAAAAAACTGGTAATAACCGAAATGCGTTTTAAAATGTTTGGTTGGTAACTATCTACCTACGCAGTGCATATCCGGAGATACCGCGTTGTGGAAGTGTGGCATTTTTGTTCAGTTAGATTTTAATTACGGTGAATCCATAAGGGGACATCTTATTTTTTGGTATAAGTATTATACTTCCTTTTTCTTTAAGCCTTAATACTCAATAAATACCAATATGTTAAAAGGATGTCCATACCCGACCTATATTATATATCAATAATTTACGGCAGTAAGTCGGATACTTGTAACATTAATAATATAAATACATACACACTTGATTTACTTTTTATTTTCAAGCGTAATGGTTGTTATATTAACCTATACCTATGTACATTTTTATTAATATTATGGAAAATTTGTACACGTGTGGTAAATCCCCGACCAATGGGATCACCCATTTTTTATAACAGAAAAATGGATTACTGATGAATTCTCAAGATAATTCATTGCTTACAAGTTGACAGCCAGTAAAACATTGCATTGATCTAAAACTTTTACGTTTTAAGGAACCATTTTGCTTAAGCCAGCCATACGACTCAAATATAAAATTATATTTTAAAAGGCACCGATTTTGATAATTGTCATAGATTTTTGTTCCATATAAATGTTTCTCTTTATTTACCTTTTCGTTTTATTCACTACCACCAATAGGTTTTACTCAAATAATAGTGTAAATTTACACTAGAAGTTTACACTAAAAGAGTAAAAGTACCTTTCTAAAATTGGAACTTTTCCAAAGTAGTGTTAATTTACACTGAACAACAGTGGGATTTTACCCAGGAAGTGTAGAAGTACACGATTTTAGGTAAATTAACACTTTTTAATACAGTGTAAAATAACTTTATCCTTAGTGCTAAAGTGTTAAATCATACTTGCTTACTTGGGGAAAATTACACTACAAATTAACTCTAATTGTAGTGTTATAAAACAACACTATTTAGTGTGGACCTGTGTGAACTCTAATTAGTGTTGCTTAGTGTTGATTTTTTTTCCTGTGTATGTATAAAAGTTTTATAATTTGGATTTTTTTTTAATTTTGTCAGTTAAGAAGCATAGCTTTAAAAATTAAAACATAATGTACCTAAAGTCCCTATCTCCCATAAAACCACACCATAAGACCAAACGTCACTCTTATTATCACATCGGTGTTTCTCTATGGCCTCTATTGACATCCACCGTCTTGGCTCGATTTCGTTCTTGTAGCTAGTGTAAGGCCCCACCCTTGAAAACCCGAAATCTGATATTTTGAGTCGTTTTTCATTGGATGTTAATTTGATTAATACATTTCTAGCTGCTAAATCTCTATGGGTTACTTTTATGCTTTCCAAATATTCCATACCTCTTGCTATCTGTAAAGCAAAAGAATGTAGCTCTTGTTCGCTTAATTCGGGTTTTAGAATACTGTCTGGGGTCGAACATAACACATCTAAAAAAAATATTTTACAAATTTGTAACACAAATAAGTAAAATAATCTTACATGTTGTTGTGGTAGTAGTGCTTTTCTCAGTTAACACACTTTCAAGTCTTGTACGTTTCTTACTGTAAAGCAGAGGACTTAAACTGCTTTCCCCTGGACTTATACCGGGTGTACAAGTGTAACTTATCTCACTATCAATGGGAATCGCCATAGAACTATAAAAAATTTGTGTAAAAAAATTTTGCTTTTAATTTTATAAATAAATATTAACACATTAAATAAGACTCTATCACTGATTAACGTATTGTTTTCTCTTATTGGTAAACCCATAACATAAATCTTACTCTGGAAAGAATATATTTGGTCTTGTGTCTTCTAATTCTGCCTTTTTCGACTCCCAGTCTTTCCTAAGATTTTCCAGATAGGTTTTAAGGTTTCCACAATCCAAATATTCCATTAAAATCAGGTTAGGTTGACTTTCCATGCAACATCCCAGGAAGTTTACAATATGTTCGTGTTTGCCGATTTTTTTCATTAGATCTATTTCCATCTTAAAGTCGTGTAGGTATTTTTCTGGGGCACCCTCTAAGTATAAATAATAATAATAATATTAGTAATAAAATATTTGTTTGATAGTAATACCTTTGGTTTGTTTAATGGCAACAACTTGTATGTCTTCTCTAGGCTTTAAGGCTGCAAAGCCTTTATAAACCATTCCAAACTCACCTTCACCTATTTTTTCATCGAAAGTTATCAAATCTCTGTCAATTTCATATTTGTCCAGGTTATCCTAAAATGTATTTTTTATTAATTTATTTTATATGTTCATTTGTGAATACTCACAACATTTTTTTTGGGGTAAATAATATTTGAAGCCCATTTTATGCTTAAAGGTATGGGAACTTCCCTTATTTGCTCAGTTGATGTGAAGAATATAAAGTTTTTGATAAAATTCCATACTGATTTTCTGTGTTTAAGAATAAGTAGAGTTGTTAATATTGTAAGGATGCAAAGGACTATGACGAAAATAACATACAAAGAATTATTTCGTTTTTCTAAAAAATATTTATTTTTAAATATGCATATAATTGAAATAAACAAATACCTTTAAAATAAAATTTTGACCAAATCTGACAGGAACCATTGTCATACTTTAACCATACACTATAGTCCTCCTCCGGCTCAAAATTAAACTCAAGTAGCTGAAAACGACTAGTGTTTTCAAAAATGGGATGAATTTTAACTCTTTCAAAAATATCGCTGTCTTCTCTTCGGTATACATAAAAAACGTTCGACAAATCTACAGATTCTTCCTTAACATTTAAAGAAACATTATAAATCCCTTCTTGTTCTTTTATAGAGTTTATTTCCAATATTTGCACAGGGCTTCTTTGTGGATCACAGCAGTTGTTTTCCACGCACACTATAGTATACAATAAGTCGTGTATAAAATAATATTTTGTTTGGTTGGGCTTTTGTACCTACCGGGTATCCGGAAGTCTATTTTTTGAAGACAGTCCACGCCATCTTCAATTGTGAATGTGTAGTTGCAATTGTGGTGCAAAAATATGTGAGAATGTTTATCTGGGGAATATACAATTTCTGACTTATAATTGTAGATTATTTCTACGATGTCGCTTTTTGTTTCATCACTTTTACAGGGATATGCATATAGCTGTATAATGTTATGAGTTATAGACAAATTATAAGCTAAAAAATACATATGTATTTCATGGGTATAAAAATGTGGTTTTGTCTTTACCAGTCCAATTTAATTTAGCCATTATGAAATTATCATCATTTACATCTAATGAGATTAGGGGTTCTTTAGCTATACTTATGTTTTTACCTAAAAATGTATTTATAAATAACACAGAAACAGGCTATATATTTTTGGATTGGTCCATCACCAGAAATGCTTATACCAAATGTATTTAAATCTGTTAAAAAACTATATGTATAACTATAATACTTTTTGGTGTAAGTTCTTAATGACATGTCAATATTTCAAGGTGTATTTTCTCAGAGCATTTTATAAAGAATTTTTTTTATAAAAATTATTTTACTTAGGTCTGTTAACTTACAAGTTTCAGGAACATCCTGAGATAAGATCTAAAACAAACAAGAAAATTTTATCCCAATATTTATTATGCAATGTAAATATAAAATATTATTACAGTGCACATATGCTTTTTGCAAACAAAAAATTGATTTATCATATTTTTATCTGAATTAGATTGTCAAATAAACTTACCATTTTATTCAGTGTTATCAGTATAAATGACAAATTATAACCAATTTGTAGCAAATAATTAAATGGATACTTCATTTTTCATTACTGCATGGTCTAAAATACAAAATATATAAAAATAATTTTTGGAATTAACCCCGGAGCATTCGCCATTTTTGCAAAAATATTTAATGTAAAAACATTTTAATTGTTTAAATGGATTCCTTTAACACAATTATTAAAACTTTGTTTTCGTCAATTTCATTTGTATAAATAAATTATAATTATTTTTACATGTTTACTTTAAGTCCATTAGTAAATGCACTTTGATTTATTTCAGTCGAATACTAAAGGAATTTGAATACAAATAAAATAAGTATAAAAATAGACGCATATGGTTTTTATTCAAACAATAACAAGGTTCAATAAAATTTCTCACGAAATAATTTTTTAGTTTTTAATGTTTAATTATAAGGATAAAAAATAATGTTAATTAAAATTAAGTTAAAATTTGTTAATAACAAAAAAGTGAAGATTTTTTAAACAATTGTTTAACTGTCCGAAAATATCTTAAACTGTCAGAAAATATCTTGTATATTTGATACACACCGTTGCCAAGTTTAATAAACTTAAATGACTTGAAAATTAGGCATTATAGTGCGAATGTATCTTCTAGGGATTAAAATGTATCATATCAATAATTCATCAAATAAAAATAATTATTTTTTCTATTGTTTTTTGGATTACCTACTTATCAAACAAATAAATTCCCAAAGAGGTTTGATAGGATTTTTTAATTATCTTGATATGCTATCCTATCTAATTGTAAGTTATAGCGTACTATATCCAGATAATAACAAAATGTTATCTTATAATTATTATTTAAATAAATATTCCTAAAGTCAACATTACTCGACCTTACTAATAAAAGTATGCAATTTGTAAATAAAACATACAAATTAAACCATAAAGAAATATATTTTTTTATTTTGAATATTTTCCTTTAGCTATAACATTTTAAGTATTATATTAAGACAAATTAAATGTATTAATTTGTCTTGATTTTCTTACTTATAAGTAATCAACTGTTTAAAATTTAATTTTTCTAAATATAATACTAATATATATTTTATAAAAATATGATCCTTACCTTTATTAATCATTGTTTTCCATCAATTAATTCATCACCTTAGTGAGGCACAAAAATAAATTTAATTGGATAAACTTTTTTCATAGCTGGATAAAAGTTGAACAAAATAAAATTAGAAATGGTCGATAGACGCATAGACAAATAATTCCCGCCTCTTCAATTCGTTATTTGCACTGCACATTATCTAAGATAATAAAATAAAAATTTGTTGAAAAGCATCGTTTATCCTAATCCCCATATACTCCACTTAAGGTAATACGCACCTGAATTTTAATTTAATGGAAAACTAAAAATAAAGTGAAATTAATTTTTAATTTTAACATTTTATACCTACATAATTTCTTTTATAAATTATGAATTTAATTATAACTTTAACTCATTATATAGGCAACAACGATTACAATGCACGCAACCATGTTTACACCTACTATTTTTATTTATAAAAATAAATATTTGAAACATTTTTTAAATCTTATACAATATGTTTATATTTAAACCTGTAAATGATTAATTATAAAATTGAACATTGGAAATTCCCAAAATATAATCACAAAACCGCAAAATGATTGCGCTACAAACAACAGCTGATAAAAGTGTTAAAATTTTGCGGCAAACAGTCAGAGTTATTTACTCGAAAGGTTACGGAAAAATGCCCACAATCCAGGATATAAAAACATGGAAGGAATACAGTGGCAACAGTCAGTTGCCAAAGAAAATAGATACTTTGCCAGATGTTAACTTGGATAATTCTAAAAATGCTGTTTTGGCTGATAAAATTTCGATATTTGAAGGTGATATAACTACTCTACAGGTAAGTTGTTTACTTTTTTAAACCTACCGCTATATTGTAACATTTTATTTATAGGTCGATGCCATTGTGAATGCTGCAAATTCTTCCCTGAGAGGAGGTGGTGGGGTTGATGGGGCAATTCATCGTAAAGCTGGCCCTGAGTTACTTAAAGAATGCATAACCTTAAATGGATGTGCAGCGGGAGAAGCTAAAGTAACCAAAGGATATAAATTGCCAGCAAAACGTAATTTTTTCTTAACAATATCAATAGATTATTAATTATTTTTATTGCAGATGTTATTCATACAGTAGGACCATATGGAGAAAAAACTAACATACTTCAAGGTTGTTACAAAAATTCCCTTGATATTATGCTTGATGTAAAGTTACGTACAATTGCTTTTCCCTGTATTGCTACTGGAATTTACGGCTATCCCAACTTACCGGCAGCTCATGTGGCTTCAAGAGAGGTTCGAAAACATTTAGAAAAAAATCATGATGCAGTTGACAGAGTTATTTTCTGCGTATTTCTACCTGAAGATAAGGTTATTTACGAAGGGATTTTACAGTCATATTTTCCTACACAATAAATATTTTTAATTTTTTACATGATTCTTGTAAATAAAGTTTTCTTTAATTAATAACATAACTGTTGTTTGATTTATATGAACAAGAATATCGCAATATTGCCATATTAACGCCTTTATACACAAAAAATACATATTTATAATCTGTTTTTCTTCTTCTTCTTCTTTATTGGCCTTGGTCTGTGTAAACCATATCAGCCATGGATTCTTAGCCATCTGTTTTTAAAGCTTAGTAACTAAATTACCCTAGGAAAGTTTGGTTAGGTTATATAATATCGGCAGAGATATCCATATCTCTGAATATCGGCGATTGAAGATATATATAATATGATAAATATATTGTAAGCATAAACTACCAACAATCAACTTAATAAGCTTTTTTATAAATAAATAATTATCTCTAACAGGTGTCTTTTTTGCAGTTATAAAATGAAGCCTGTGAACATCGCCTTTTGCGTTTTAAGGGCTAGGAACGACACTTTTCAAATTTTTTCAAAATGGCAACCTTGCTCTTCTTTCTAATTTAAAATTTATCCCAAAGCGCATGTCCCGTGGTGACGTTGCTAATAGGGGGGAGATAAAAGAGTGAGGGAAAGAACAACTACACCGTAAGAAAAGCGGTGCATAGTTTTTGTGTCAAGTGGTGTTTAAATAAATAAAAAATAGGGAAAAAATCGTGAAAAATTGTTTGTAGGTGTGCGTGAAAAGTGTTGCGATGGCTTCTGACGAGGAAGTGGACGAATCTATTGCCGGTAAGTTTGTTTTGTTTGGGTATGCATAGGTGAATAGCGTAAGCCGCTACGAACTCGTGTTTACTTTTTAATTCGTGGTTTAATGATAACTATCGCATTAAATCGGTGTAGATGTGCATCTTACGCATTATCGTGAGTAATTGGATGGATTTCGGGTGCAAACTTACCAAAATAACGCGTAATTATAGGACGGTAATCATTTATTAGTCGCGGGGTGAGGGGAGGCAGTTTTCATTATTTTTGTGACAGCGCGCGGGCATATCCTGACCCTTAACAAAATGGAGGACATCAAACAAAGAGATTGGCAGATTGCAAATTATATAATTTTGATCGGTTTTAACTTTTCGCGCACTTTGGGGTTAGAAATTTCGTATTTTCCCTCCAACAAAATGTCATGATGACACTGACCACCGTCCACATGGCCGGCACGCTACGTTTTCCACCCCGATTTTAAAGGGGCAAAAATGCAAATTTAAATTCGAGAAATGTGTATCGATTATTCGAAATCGAGTTTTTAAGTTTTTAACCGATAATCCGTCACGCTCATTAAATATTTAGAATTTTAATCGAGGTAATTTAATAACAGTAATTTTGTCGAATCGCTTTGAAATGCCTTTACCTGAACGTATTCATTATTTCAGGAGAGGAGGAAGCCGGCGACGAGGGTCAAAATGATCAGGTAGACAATGAACAAGACTCTGACGAAGGTGCACCAAAAGGTGGCGTAAGTATAACAATTATTTAACTAATTTGTAGGTTATTAACCTATAAATAATCAATTATTGACAATTCAACTGTCAAAATTGTCATTAATTTGACAGTTTAGTAAACGTCAAAATTACATCAAGCTTACTTTGGCAAAACTACAGTAGTTTTTATTGTAGAAACAAAATTAAGAAGTATTTTTTATAATTAGGATGTGTTTAAACTTTTAAACTGGATATTCTTAATATTACCTTGGAGTATATAAAACATGGATATATCTTAGAGCAGACAATAAAAACGCCTTATTAATTAAAAAAAAATAAATAAACTCAATCAAATCCCTTATTATTATACTAAAGTGACCAGATTCTGTCAAAAAAAATCGGGACATTTTGTATGAATTTACCTTAACTACAAAATTGACACAATGATACAATGCAAATTGTAAATTTGACGTTACTTAATTATTGTTGATTGTGTCATTTTTGTGATTAAGGTTAATTTACACAAAATGTCCCGATTTTTTTTGACAGAATCTGGTCACTTTATATTATACCTACCTAGTCATTTTGAGTTACAAATTGTAAATTACTAGTGTAACGAAATTTGAGACGACTCAAGAGCGATCGTGGGAGTCGATCCCGTTAAGCGCCAGGCTAGACATTTGTTTGTTTATGCAGGTGGCTTTTAGGAATTTATCTATCTTCCCTGAGAGGCACAGGCACGACGAGGAACATTCTGAAAAGGCAGTCAGAGTTCACCCTTTACTCGACACACGTTCTCTATTAATTTGTTATATAATTATATTAATCTCTTTATATTTTTAATAGTAAATAGAATTTAATTTAAACGAAAGAGTATTATTATTCTTTCTCACAGAGCAGCGGCGGGATAGTGTTCACGGTTTTTCGTAGGAGATTGTGATATTCGTTTATAAGTGCCTAATTAACGAAAACATTAGTTTGTATTGTGTCTATGTGCATTTGTTTAAGTGCTGCAAGTTTTTGGATTACGATTAGTTTAGTGATTTGTACTTAGTGTGTGCATTTTGAAAACAATGGGAAAACGCAGGCATAGTCGTCGTAGTCCTAGCACGACGAGTACTTCAAGTAGTGGTTCCGCACGGTCAGGCAGTGATAATAACGATGCTGGTCGCTATAGACGTAGAAGCAGGAGGGCGACCCGTCGAGGGCGACATACTCCACAGGTGCAAAGCGTAGTTATAGATGTTACGCGAAAATCTAATGCTATGAATGCTCCGCAAAGTTGTTCCACGCCGGTTCAGGCTGTAGACGTAGACGTTACGCAAAACAGTAGTTCCGTAGTTTCACCTCAACCTATTGCTACACAGGTTCAGGCTGCAGTCGTAGACGATACGCAAAGCAGTAGTTCCGCTGTAGAATCAGTTGACAAGGAACGTATTAAAGTCCTTGAAAATATGGTAATGAAACTTTTGGAAAAGGATCGCACGTCACATGTCACTATAAGAGCTGACTGCATACCGGAATTTATCCCAGGTAAGCCCAATACAAGTTGTGCTAAGTGGTTGGGCAAAATAGAACAATTAGCATCGGTCAATCGTTGGAACGAAGCTACACAAATTTATCACATGCAGACCAGGCTGAAAGGTTTAGCACAGACGTGGTATCATAATTTAGATTTTTATGATTACACCTGGGTTGAATGGAAAAATCTTTTAATTAACGCATTTCCTGATCACCAAGATTTTCCATCCACACTTAAGTCGTTAATAGCTAGACACAAGTCCAGTAACGAAAAATGGACAGAATATTATTTTGAGAAAATGCAGTTACTACGCCAATGTGATATAGCGGGAAAGAATGCTGTTGCTATGATCATCGATGGCATTCACGACCCTGCCATTCAAGCAGGAGCAAAAGCAGGCCGCTACAGCACCCCTGAGGACTTGTATCGAGAGTATTTGTCCGCTTTACCTGACGAAAAAGCGTTCAAACCAGATAAAAGGCCCTCACATTTTTCATTGAAACATGACCTGGTAGACAAAAGGGCACACGAAAAGCCGAAATCTAGGCCAAACAAATGTTATAATTGTAACGACTTTGGACATTTTCAACGCAATTGTCCTAAACCAAGAAAAGAATGTACTCTATGTAAAAGACTTGGACATGTAGTAACCGAATGTTACAAAAACAAACCAAGTACTTCAAAAAAAGTGTTTGTTTGCGATACGACCCTGAACAAACGGTCTGATTCTCAAAGTTTAGAAGTCGTGTGTTACATAAATAACATGTCACTGGATGGATTTATCGACACAGGATGCGAAATTGTCACCATACGGGAAAACGAAGCGAGAAAACTTGGTTTGAAATGGCAACCATGCGGTATTGTGATTAATGGCTATGGGGGTGGTCGAACTAAGGCCTTAGGCGAAATTACGGTTGAGTTACGAGTCGATTTATTTTCAACTCAAGTGGACGTAATAATTGTGCCCCAACAAATGCAAAATATGTCCGTTTTGATAGGGCAGACTTTCTTAAGAAAAACGGGTGCAACGTTAGTTATGAGGAACGGAGAGTTGAGAATTTTTAATTCAGAAATGGCGCTGTTGCCAGAACTCGACAACCTCCCCACATCTTTAAAATTGGTCTGCAAGAAACCAGCAGTGATACCGCCAAATCACATCGGGCTACTCACCTGTAAACCAATGGACGACTACAAAGGGGATGTATTTATTGAACGTCGACAGTCCAGTAAGCCAGGTGGCGAATACATCATACCCAGTTGTGTCACCTCAGCAAGTTTGGGAGTATTACCTATCTACAATGCCTCAGAACAACCGATGAGTTTCGACGCGGAACAATTGGTTACGAGAGGAGTTGCGTGTATTCCTGACGTAGGATGCAGCGAAAACGAGGTAAGAATAAATACTTTAAATAAACAAGTGCTATTAAAATTTACTTTAAACGATATTGAGAAACAAGTAAATAATAACATTGGTAAAGATAATGTAAACATTTTACTTAATACACTTAATACATATCGAGACTGTTTTGCACAAAATATAACCGAATTAGGTTGTATTAAAGGAGTGGAAATGGAAATTAATTTAATAGACGATAAACCTGTGACGTATAGACCTTATCGCCTTTCCATTCAAGAAAGACAGTGCGTGCGCGAAATTGTTGACGATTTATTAGATAATAGCATAATTCAAGAATCGCATTCGCCATATGCAAGTCCTATAGTGCTCGTTAAAAAGAAAAGCGGGGATATTCGAATGTGCGTCGATTACCGTGCAATTAATTCTAAGTGCTTTAAAGACAATTACCCGATGACTAGAACTGATGACCACTTAGAAATGTTATCTAATCAAAAATATTTTACAACCTTGGACATGGCCAGTGGATATCATCAAATTCCTGTAGCGAAAAGTTCCAGAGACAAAACCGCATTTGTCACCCCAGACGGACAATACGAATACCTGCGCATGCCGTTTGGTTTAGTAAATGCTCCTGCAGTGTTTCAAAGAACAGTAAATCGCATTATTAGAAATATAGAAAATGTTACAGCGCTTGCGTACTTGGATGACATTCTCATACCTAGTACTGATTTTGAAACAGGCCTATTAGCTTTAAAGAAAATATTTAATGCGTTTCGATCTTATGGTGCAACATTTAAACTAAGTAAATGCCATTTCTTTAAAACAGAGCTAGATTATTTGGGACATGAACTTAGCATTGAAGGAGTACGACCAGGTAAAGAAAAGATTAGAGCCGTAGAAAATTTCCCAGTACCCAAAAATGTACACGAGATCAGACAATTTGTGGGCCTTGCCAGTTATTTTAGAAAATATATCAAAGGGTTTGCCCAAATAGCACGCCCATTGACGATGTTAACCAAAAAGGATATTAATTTTCTTTGGACTGAAGAACAACAAAAAGCTTTCCAGCTTATTAAAGAAAATTTAATAAGTAGACCTACGCTTGCAATTTTTAACCCCCAATTTAAGACTGAACTACATACAGATGCTTCGAGTCGAGGTCTTGGAGGAATTTTACTACAGTGGCAAGAAGACGAAAATTTAAAACCGGTTATGTATTTTAGCAGGCAGACTACACCAGAAGAGCAAAAATACCATTCGTACGAACTTGAAACCCTAGCAGTAGTGTGTTCTCTACAAAAGTTCAGAGTCTACCTGTTGGGTGCCGAATTTAAAGTGGTTACAGATTGTAATGCACTTCGCACAGCTATGTCTAAACGAGACTTAATTCCGCGTATTGCAAGATGGTGGTTAGCCGTCCAAGAGTTTAATTTTACTGTAGAATATCGACCGGGTACGAAAATGAGTCATGTAGATGCCCTTAGCAGGAATCCGGTAGAAGAAAACGCAGTTTTACCTGAAATAATAAGTATTCTTGAAGTAAACATTACGGAAGATGATTGGATTTTATCAGCACAGTTACAGGATGAACAATGCAAATCACTGGTTGAAATTTTATCTAAAAAGCCAATCGATGCAAACGACAAGTACGTACATAAAGAATATGCGATTAAAAACGAACGACTTTATAAGGTCACTGACCGAGGGTTACGATGGTACGTGCCAAAAAGGGCTCGTCGTATTTTAGTATCATATTACCACGATAAACGAGGACATCTGGCTACAGATAAGACCCTTAAAGCTATGAGCGAGTGTTATTGGTTCCCGAGAATGCGAAAGTACATTAAACGGTATATAACTTGTTGTTTGGGATGTTTATATAATAAAGTACCTGCGGGAAAACAAGAAGGTTTACTACACCCCATTGAGAAAGTACCACAACCGATGCACACCATTCATATTGACCATCTGGGACCTTTTGTAAAAAGTAGCAAAGGAAACAGTTACCTAATAGTTGCAGTGGATGGCTTTACGAAATATTTATGGGCAAAGGCAGTATCATCAACAAAAACGGCTCCTAAAATAAAATTTTGTGATGAAACATTTACCACTTTTGGGGTGCCTCACAGAATAATATGTGATAGAGGGACTTGTTATACGAGTAAACTTTTTCAAGACTACACGAAACGTCTTGGAATACAGGTAGTGCTAAACGCAACAGCAACACCTAGAGCCAACGGGCAGGTTGAAAGATACAACCGTACGATCCTGACTTCCCTGTCAGCGACGGCTGACGACGAGAGGAAGTGGGATGACGTCATTGGTTCCATACGTTTTGGAATTAATGCGGCAGTGCAGAGCGTTACGGGTAAAAGCCCACACGAGCTTCTTTTCGGGTATAAACCTAAGGGAATCCACGACGCATTTCTGGCTCATGAAGTCGAACAGAACGAAAATGTTGACCACGATATGAGTACGGTTAGAGAAGAAGCTACACGACGGATAACGGCTGCACAGTCAAAGCAAAAAGCATATTACGATGCTAAACGTAAAAAGCCTATTGTATACGACGTAGGTGAGCAGGTACTCCTACGAAGGAATGCTTTTACTAACGAGGGTAAAAGTAAGAAACTGCTACCTAAATACAGCGGTCCATACGTTGTGACCAAAGTGCTTAATCACGATAGGTACCTGATAAACGATTTACCGGGCACACGACGAGCACGGAAAAAGTATCAGGGTGTATGTCCTGCAGATAAATTAAAGCCATACATTGCTACGCACGATTGTAGTAGTGACGACTCAAACTCAGGTTCTGACGTAGAACTCGTGAGTGAGTAAAACGTAATTTATGCTGCAGACAAGACGAAGCTCTACACTACGCACGATTGTAGTAAAAACGATTCAGACTTAAATTCTGACGTAGAATTTAAGAATGAATAAGAGCTTAGTTTGCTTTACAAAGAATTCAGGGCCTTCATTGTTTGAGTTCTGACGTGAGAACCGAATAGTGTTGTTTTTCTGGGTTTTTGGTAAAGCAAACACACAAATACATAATGTGACATAAAATTTATTGGGATCCGTTCATGACAAATTTCGGTTAAAAAGAAATGTAATTTAGTATGTAGCAAAAAGGCTATGATTTGTTTATTTTGGTTTAATTTATTTGTTCATGGATGTTGAACCCACAATAAATTACGCAATGTAATCTTTTAGTAATTTGACATTTTCCATAGGATTAAACGAATATTTTCCGAGGACGGAAAAAGGGGTAGCATGGCCGACTGTAACGAAATTTGAGACGACTCAAGAGCGATCGTGGGAGTCGATCCCGTTAAGCGCCAGGCTAGACATTTGTTTGTTTATGCAGGTGGCTTTTAGGAATTTATCTATCTTCCCTGAGAGGCACAGGCACGACGAGGAACATTCTGAAAAGGCAGTCAGAGTTCACCCTTTACTCGACACACGTTCTCTATTAATTTGTTATATAATTATATTAATCTCTTTATATTTTTAATAGTAAATAGAATTTAATTTAAACGAAAGAGTATTATTATTCTTTCTCACACTAGATTGGTCAAGATGGATTTTTTGGTGATAAAATGATCCAATTACCTACATAATATGTAGGTATATATAATGTGATATATTATATCACATTTTGTCCACTTTGTTAAGTAGCAATTTAAATAGTATTTTATATTTCTTTAACAAAAATGTACTGAATTTTGTTAAATTAATTAAAATTTACTTTTGTACTTCAATGTCAAAAATGATCTAGATTTAGTACAATTGTACTAAATCCACTCTTAAGAGTGGATTTTTTAAATTTAAAAGAATTTTACATTAGTTTATAAGATGTTGATATAATAAAATGTAAATTAATATTAGGTAATTAATATTGTGTGTAGCAATATATTTTAATTTCCACTACCTGAAAGGTGATCTACAGACAATTGTCTAAAAAATAAATAAATTTATTGTTTCAAGTCTTATTATATACAGTGTGACCCATTTGTTTGCGACTCACCCCTGTAAAATCTTTATTTATTGTGCGATTTTAACCGGATTTGTTTTAAAGTGTAGATCTTGATAAACTGTGTTTTTGAAGCAAAAATGTACTCTTAAAAACTCATGATACAAAGATTTAAAAACTGACATAGTAGGCCTTGTATTTTGTATTAATATGGCGTCTTTTGCTAAAAAAACAATTTATCAAGATATACACTTTAAAACAAATCCTGTTAAAATCGTACAAAAAATTAAGATTTTATAGATTAGGCCTAATGTACATGATGTACAATGCTTTCATTCAGAATTCATGTTTTATCATGATTTTCAACAATTGATTATCGCAAAAATTAATTGATTAATTTATTGTTATCCATAGATACCCTAAACAATAATTGACAGTTAAAATTTAAAATTAGATTCTGTCATGGCATTTTACCCCATCTTAACAAAAAATCAGATATTATTTAAAAAAAAAAAAACTATAATTGCGACGTAATTTATAACCTTAAAATATTCGTACATTGTAATGCTATAAAGTTAACTTTATGAATAAACACGGATAAAAAGTTCAAATGTCGCACCCGTTACATTTTGAGATAATTTTAGAAAATAAAGTATACAATATTTGTGCATTTAAAATATGTGCTTGTCTGAGATTACTATTCAAAATAACATCAAGTTTACTTTGACAAACATTATCTTCATTAAACATAGGAGGAAGACGACGATTACGAACCGGAAGATGGTCGTAAAAAGAAGAAGGGGAAGAAAAGAAAGGCCAGAGGGGAGGAGAAAAAGGGGAAAAAGAAGAAGAAAAAACGTAAAAACGAAAGCGGAGAAGAAAGCGATTTTGTCGACGAGGAAGGCGGAGATTCCGACTATGCCGGAAGTAAAAAAGGCCGGAAGTCCAGAGGTTCCGCTAAACACTCAGCCCCCTCCACTCCGGCACCCGACACGCCATCTGGCGGCAACGGTAATGCAGGTACAGGTGGTGGAAAATTACTTAACTATGTTTGTTTTTTTATTTTTAATACAGTTTTCATATCTACTAGGGAAAGTTAATCTTGCCTGAAAAATGCATAAAAAAAGATAATATTTTAAATGTTGTAATATGCTTGCACAGTAAAAGCTTACTTTTCCAATATACTTATTAGACTGGGCCATAATATTAATATTAAGTGGTCAATCATCTCAATTTTAGATTTTTTTTCCTCAGCAAGTTTTTGTCTCATAACTCCCAAACCATTGAGTTTAACAAAATTGACTTAAAAATATTTTTTGAAGGAAATTGAATGCTCTACAAAAAAAGTCTGATTGAAATTTTCCGTCAGATGAACCGCTTCCTTACAATCATGCCTTAAAAATTGGTATAGTTTTACAATTTAATCTTTTAACTTTGGAATTTTGTAATTCATGTAAAAATCACTACCCGAAAAGAAAAACGGTATATATTTTTATGGGAAATCAAATGCTCTACAAAAAAGTGTATAACATTTTTGGCTAAATTCCTTCAATCAAAAGTTATTCAAGGTTAAAGTTGATGTCAAAACGATATTCTTGTTTTTTCCGCTGTAGATTTTTTTTTTGGGTAAGTTAAAAACTTGAATTCTTTTATCGATGATAATCTTTATGTTATTGATAAAATAACTGAAAATTAAAAAAAAATTATAACACATTCGAATCTTTTCGCTTTAAGAAGCTATTTTCTTTGGGAAATATAATTTTCACTGTTATTTAATCGTTTAAATAATAACAATCATATTGGAAATTGTTCATTAGGTATATAGGTAATACACATTTATAAAGAAAAAATCAAATTATCATCCATAAAAAAAAATCTACAGAGGAAAAAAAAATTTCGTTTTGACTTCAAATTTAACCTTGAATAACTTTTGATTCAGTGAGTTTAGCCAAAAATGTTAAAAGACTTTTTTTGTAGAGCATTTGTTTTCCCATAAGAATATCTATCGATTTGGGTACTGATTTTTACATGAGTTTAAAATTACAAAGTTAAAAGATCAAATTGTAAAACTATACCAATTTTTAAGGCATGATTGTAAGGAAACGGTTGATCTGGCGGAAAATTTCAATCAGACCTTTTTTTTAGAGCATTCAATTTTCTTAAAAAATATTCTTAAGTCAATTTTGTAAACTCAATGGTTTGGGAGTTCTGAGACAAAAACTCGCTCAGGAAAAAAAATGTAAAATTGCGATGATGGACCTCTTAATATTAATATTATGGGCTCAAATTTTCACAGTATTTTCGATATACTTTACAAAAAAAAATAGTCGATTTTTTTGGCCCAGTTGAATACTTATATACGCGTTTTATAGCTGGTATGCCTACAATCGATGAAGTTTGTTCGACTTTCGGTCTAACCGACGTCGAAATCGAGTGGACCGAGACGGAATTCACGAATTTGTCGAGTTACAAACTCTTCCAACAGCACGTGCGCCCCCTGTTGGCCAAAGAAAACCCCAAAGTACCGATGTCCAAGTTGATGATGTTGGTCGCTGCCAAATGGAGGGAGTTTTCCAGCATCAACCCCAACTTGAACGTACGAATTTCGACGCATATCTTGTCCCATTTCTTTCAATATTTATTTTTATGTTTAGTCCGAAACTCCAGAACAAAACACGTCGACGACGGAGGAGTATTCGAAGCCGACTAGGACAAGAACGCCGAAAGAACCGGCTAAAGACGAAACGTTCGACGAAGACGACGAAGAGGAAGAAGAAGAAGACGAGGGTAAGAAGAAGAAAGGCAGAAGGGGCAAGAAGCCTGGAAGAAAGTCCACTAAAGTGCCCACGTTGAAAATCAAACTTGGCAAAAGAAAACGCGGAAGTTCCGTAAGTACCTTGATTCTCTCTGTATTATATCTTAATTTTGTAGTTTGGGTGTGCTGATTCCAAAAATGATCATTTTGCTGAATCGGCCTTTGTTAGAGATGGGAAAATTCCCGAAAATATCAAAAAATATTTTTTATTGCGGAAATGAGTTTTTGGTGTATATAAAACATTACCTTTTTGCCAAATTTTGTTAGGAAAATTTTTTTTAAAAATTGTTTATATCAATGTGTACATAATGCATTGTAAGCTGAAACTTAAAAAATAAACTGTGAATCACTAGATATTACATAAAAAAATATAAAGGAACCAAGTAAATATATAGGAATATTGAAAAGTAAAAAAAATATTAAAAATAGTATTGCAGTCTGACCAAAAAAATATGAAAAAATAAAACTCCTGGCAAAATAAAATCAACATTTTTTACTACCATTACCCATAGAAACAATTGCAAAGGCAAAAAACACAAATTAGGAATTTTTTTTTAAACCAAACAAAAATAAAAGTGTTATTCCTGTAATTTAAATTTGTAAAAATTGTAACTTAGGAACTGAATCTACAACAATGCAATGAGCATGGTATTTTATTGCAATATTTTGTAATAATTACAAATATACGATTTTTCTCTTGGCGTTGTACTTTACCTATAAACGATTTTAACTTCAGCTGTCAAATAATTGACATTTACCTACATAAAAAAGTGGGAAAGTTTCCGGCAACTTAAAAAAAAAAACTTTTAAAATAAAAATAAATTTCTTGACTGGAAACTTTTAGGGTTCCCACACCCCCTTAAACTCATAAATTCCTAAAATTTGGCTAAAATCTTCAAAACTAAAATTCTCCTAAAATTGCCATCAATCTCCTAAAACTCCTAAAAATTAAGGTAGTTGTGCTAAAAAATTTCTCTTTTTAAAAAGTAATTTAAAAAAATATATTTTTAGGTTCTAAATTCTTTTTAAAATGATATATCACAACCTACATTTTTCTTAAAAAACAACAATATTTACCTAAAAACAAAATCCATGTAGTAGCTCCTAGTCTTCTACAAAATTGTCATCTTAAGCCATATTTCGTTTGTTTTCGACAATTTTTTTTTTAATGATAGCTAAAATAGTAAACAATTAAAGAATGTTTTGCTGTATTATGCAAACTTTATATTTTTTCTATTATGAGATTTTTGAGTAAGAAGATTCAAATTACAATTATTGTCAACGGTTAACATTTTTTTCTCAAAATATAAATATAACATCACTTGACTTTGGCCTAGGTTTTAAGGCCATATTTATCTACGCGGTTTTTTTATAAATAAAATTAAAAGTGTGGTAAAATTTCTACTGTGTATATACAGATATATACAAAAGTAGTAATTTTAATAATAATAATAATAATTATGTATTTATTTAGCATTAATGCTACAAAAAATAACAATTTACATAAAAAATACAACAAAAAATTAGAAAAGGTTACAATCTGATTTTTAACAAAACATTTTATAAATAGAATACTAAATCTTAATTAGATTTAATATAGTAAATACAGTATGAAGATGACGAAAATTCACTTTTAGCTTAAAAAAATCTTCTCATAAGTTTTTTGAACTGATCTATATTATCACAGTTTTTAATATTTACAGGTAGGTCTCTTAACATTTTTGCCTAATTTAATTAATTTAATTTAATTAATTAATTAATTCTTCAAAAGTTATTCACGAAGAAAAAATTGAAATTTTAAGTTTTTCTTCGATTTTAATCGTGAATAACTTTTGAAGAATTAAATTTAGGCAAAAATGTTAAGAGACCTTTTTTGTAGAACATTATATTCATTGATTCATTAGTTACAAAATTTCAAAGTAAAACGGGCAAATCGAAAAAACACATCGATTTATTAAGCACAATTAGTCGGAAACGACTCGACAGTTCTAACGTAAAACATCAAATTATGACTAAAAATCAAAAATAGCGATGATAGACCTCTTAAAATTAATATTAAGAGCTCAAATTTTCACGAAATTTTTTTTGTCATTCTGAATGACATTCTCGATATATTTTTCAAATAAAAAATAGTCAATTTTTTTGGCCCAGACTAATATATATCTATATACATTTTTGTGTCACCTTTACCATATCATTAATGTACAATAAAAACAATAATGGGCCCAAAACTGTCCCTTGAGGTACACCGTATTTTTGTTTTTTAGTACAGAAATTCATTTGAATATTTTTCCTTAAATAACAAAAAAAAATGTATACATACATAGGACGAAGACGGCGAAGGCAGCAACAACGGAACTGACCGCGACTCGGACGCGGAATTCGAGCAGATGCTGCAAGAAGCCGAGGAGCCGAGCAGCTCCAAGGCTTCGAGCAGCGAACCCTCTTCCCAGCCGGAAAAAGAGAAGACCGAGAACGCGGACGAAACGCCGCAGCCGCGTCGCAAAGCCAAAACGAAGATCGGCAACAAGAGCAAGAAGAAGAAGAAGGTGAAGCCGAAGGAGGAGGAAAACTACGAGCACCAGGACTACTGCGAGGTGTGCCAGCAAGGCGGCGAGATTATCCTCTGCGATACTTGCCCCAGAGCCTATCACTTGGTGTGTTTGGAGCCCGAGTTGGAAGAGGCGCCTGAAGGTATAATAATAATAATAATAATATTTATTTATTTCCATGGAACATACATAAATGTGTTGAAATAGTCAAAAAACTAAACCTAAAAACTAAAAACTAGAAAGTCTAAAAAGACAGCACTAAAAATTTACCAACAAACGGTTTTTCAATATTGCATTTAATTAGCACTTTCGTAAGTTACAATTATTTTTAACTGGAGGTAAATTGTTAGTTAAATTGTAATCTGTTTTTTCATGCATTTTGAAGTATTAGTTACAGAATCACAAATTTTGACATATTTTTGTTATGTTGGTATTAAATATTACCCAGGGCTGGATGCTCCCGTGTACGAGTTTTGGTTCGTCCCGCGCATGACGTCACTTGATGAGTAGTTGCCGTGTGAATACACGAATAATAGTAATATTATCAAAGAAAATAGAGAAATTTCTGGACATAGTGCGTTTTTATTAAATTTAATATTGAAGAAAGTGTTCCTTGATAACATTTAGGGCTGTAGTTTAAGCGTTAGTGTTTTAAATTAAACTTATAGTCACTGTCCAGAAAATGTTTATAGGAAACAGAAGCGGTCTTAACGTAAATATTGTCTATTATTTTTGTGGCAATTAAACACTGTTTCCACAAATCAAACTTTTTCGGGAATCGATTAAATTTAATGTTTTTATTTAAAGGGTTTTTCTTGGACTGGTTGTACGAATTGCATCCAAATATGCCACACCGCATTTTAATAAATGCAAATGGCACTATACAATCTAAAACACAAACAAAACAAGTTAACGCAACACAAAAACAATAATAAACAAACCTAACATGTTAACCTAACGCAATAACAATAATTTGAACGCTGAAAAGTAATTCGAACCTTACCGAACACAAAAACGACAAGTTAAACAAAAAGTAGAGCAAGTTAACATCCAAAAGCATCGCAAAAACAAGAATTTTAGCAGTAGATAATTAAAAAGCACGTTAAAGATTTAAAAACACTCATCAAGTGACGTCATTAAGCCCCGCCCAACATGCGCACCATCCTATCTTAAGGTGTATGTATCTTGAATATTACCGGAAATCGCCAAATATAACCTTATTTTGCGCTGTAAAAGTAAATTTAGAAAAGTAGACTGCTTTGTTTTGTTATTACTGGCGTCGGGAATATACTCAAATTTACAGGATTTGTTTAAAAAATCCTAAATTGTTTAAATTACATTTGGGAAGCTTTGGTTTAAGTGTATAAATTTAAATACGAAGCTTCCCAAATTTAATTTAAACAAAATATGATTTTTAAACAAATCGTTTAAATTTGATTTTATTCCCCCTCAAGTTTCTATTTATCTCGTTTTACGCTATCAGAAAATTGGTTGGTTAGTTTACAAACTAGCTAAAGCTTGGCTATTTTGTGTTACTAGAAATTTTGGTTTTCATATTAGCCAAACTGAATTGGATAGTATACAAACTATCCAGCTATTTTAGTTTCCCTAATAATTTCAAGTAAATTAGCCAAGATCCTTGGTTATTTTGTAAACTAGCCGCTTATTTAGTTGAAAATATGTTTTCAATTAAAATAGCTGACAGTTTGGCTAGTTTATAAACTATCCAGCTATTTTATAAACTATCCAAGTTTGCACATTATCCATAACATATACAAACATTTAGATGTTAAAAACAATTTTAATTCATATTTAAAAGTATTAATTTTAGAAATTGTTTTAATATTGCGAGTAGGGTTGGGACAGTTGAAATTTTCAAATAAAAACTTGAAATATTTCATTTAGTTGGAAAAGTGAAATTTTTAAAAATTTCAAATGAAATTTTCAATTCGAAAATTTCAACATTGCCCGTGAAAGTTTCAGAAATTTCATTAAAAGTTTCGCAATTTACTAAAAATTTCGCATAAATTTCACATGCGGCCTCCCCTGGGACCTTTAATAATAATTTACAACAGATTCCGAATCGACTAATAAGAACGAGTTATCAAGCGTCTGGGCGTTTTTGTTTAGTTCAGCTTGGATTTAAATACACTATAAGTAATTATTGTTACTTATATGCATAAATTAATTTAAATAATTTAATTCAGTTACCAATTTAATTTGTAAATTAAATCAGACTTTAAATTTTTCTTAAAAGTCATAATTAATTTAAACTTTTACTTTTGCTATAATTGCATTGGAAAACGGATAAAAAATGTCTTTGGCTTATAAAATTTTGATGAAGTTTCTTCAATTTTCGTAAAATTTCAGTAAAATATTTAAAAATAATAAATATATATAAATATAAAATAATGAAAGTGGCACAATCTCATTAGTTTACCAAAAAGTGCTATATCTCTTTTAGTTTTAGTAATTTTAAAAATATTTTAAAAGGAAATCTCGAGAAATTTGCGGTAAACATAGGTATTTACTATTTATATTATTGATGCAGGGGCCCACAGAGGGGTAGGAGGTAAGAGAGGCAATTTGCCATGGTCCCCGAGTGGGCTTATTTCAATATTAATATATTACACTTAAAGTGATTAAAATTTATTGAAAGTTTCAATAAATTTCAGAAATTTAAGAAATTTCATAAATGTCATGAAAATTTCAAGTGAAATTTTTCCAACCCTAATTGCGAGGTAGCAAGTTAAAGGCTCTTTCACTAATATTAAGTCGAACGTGAGGTAGTCGGTAGTTTAGGTTATGTCTGGTATTAAAATTGTGATAACCGCAATTTTTCGAAAGGTAAGTGGAGCTGCCCGCACTGCGAGAGTCAGGGGCCCGAAGAACCCGACGACGACGAGCACCAGGAGTTCTGCAGAGTTTGCAAGGACGGCGGCGAGTTGTTGTGTTGCGACTCGTGCCCCTCGGCGTACCACACGTTCTGTCTGAACCCGCCGCTATCGGAGATCCCCGACGGAGACTGGAAGTGCCCGCGGTGCTCGTGCCCGCCTCTGCCGGGCAAGGTGAACAAGATCATAACGTGGAAGTGGGTGTACGAGCCGGTGGACGAGAAGGCGGTCACCGCCACCGGGAAGAAACCGAAGCCGAAAAGGCACCGCGAGTTTTTCATCAAGTGGCACGAGCTGTCGTACTGGCATTGCAGCTGGGTGAGCGAGATCCAGCTCGACGTCTATCACCCGCTGATGTTCCGCTACTACACGCGCAAGTACGACATGGAGGAGCCGCCCAAGCCCGAAGAGGCCATGGAGGAGACCGACGCGAGGGTCATTAGATTGATGAAGATGGGCGGTAAAAAGGACGAAGAGATGGAGGAGAAATACTACCGCTACGGCATCAAGCCGGAATGGTTGATTGTTCATCGCGTCATCAACCACAGGTAGGAATGTAAAATTATTTTTTACTAATTTCTTAAAATTATATTAGGTAAAGTTATCATTAGTTAATTCTGCACCAACAAATGTGCTTACCGAATTGGATCCTTTGGCAAAACATGAAAATGCAACGATTTAGTTCTTGAATTTTATTTACAGTTAAAAACACAATAATTCACCATGATCCCTCAGATAAAATACACACACTGACGTAACTATATAAGCATTTAAGCGTTGAGTTTCTTAATCAATGATTTAAGGAATAATCGATCGAAATCGAGTACTAAACCAGTTTTTTAGTTTTTTCCTTGCAACGTAAAACACAAATAACGTGCGCGATTTAGCTGTGCAATTGGGTAAGACTTCTGCCTTCCTCTCTTTTGTGAAAAAACTACCTATTTATTTAAAAATGATGCACAGTTCGTATGCTTTAAATGTATTATTGGCAATTCTTAAATTCACGCAATGCTTTTGAAGTCCACCAGATGGCGCGCGCGTTGCCAAAATCCGATACTTCTTTAGCGTCATTTTTGTCATTTATTGTCATTTTCATTTTCTTATCTTCAATGTAGACATAGAAGCATCAAACTAAAACATTAAAAGACATAACTTAAACATAAATTTAATTGAAAAAAATAATAAAATTTAAGCAAAATTTAAAATTAAATAAAAATCTCCTTATAAATCTCTTTAACAAAACAAAACCATATCATAGAAAAAATATAAAGATATCCAACTGGTTTTTAAGTAGTTATAACCAAAGATAATATCTTTGGTTATAACTAAATTTTGTTGTCAGATTCATAGTCATCAACTCCAAAGTCATCTAATGACAGCTCCTCAATTATTATAGTTAATAGTTTCTAAAATGTTAAATGATAATGTTTTAGCTTAGGGGTCAAAAAAATCGACTATTTTTTGTTGTAAACTATATCAAAAATATTGTTTGGGGTGACAAAAAAAATTATTTTAGATTTTTTTTTCCTGAGCGAGTTTTTGGCTGGGAACTCCCAAACCATTGAGTTTGACAAAATTGACTTTTAAATATTTTTCGAAGAAAATTGAATGCTCTACAAAAAAGGTCTAATTTCCCGTCAGATGAACCGTTTTCTTACAATCATGCATTAAAAATTGGTATATTTTTACAATTTGATCTTTAACTTTAAAATGTTGGAATTCATGTAAAAAATAGATATTCTTATGGGAAATCAAATGCTCTACAAAAAAAGTCTCTTAATATTTTTGGCTAGATTCACTCCATCAAAAGTAATTCAAGGTTAAAGTTGAAGTCAAAACGAAATTCTTGTTTTTTCTGCTCTAGATTTTTTTTTGGGTCAGTTAAAAACTTGAATTCTTTTATCGATGATAATCTTTATGATATTGATTTTCACTGTTATTTAATCGTTTAAATAATAACAATCATGTTGTTTTTTATTGGAAATTGTTAATTAGTTATATAATACACTTTTATGAAGAAAAAATAAAATTATCATTCATAAAAAAATAAATCTACTGAGAATTTCGTTTTGAGTTCAATTTTAACCTTGAATAACTTTTGATTGAGTGAATTTAGCCAAAAATGTTTTTTGTAGAGCAATGGAATTCTCATAAGAATATTTATCGTTTTTTTACATGAATTACAAAATTCAAAAGTTAAAAGATCAAATTGCAAAACTATACTAATTTTTAAGGCATAAATTTAAGGAAACGGTTCATCTGACGGAAAATTTCATGAAGAACGTTCAATTTCCTTAAAAAAACATTTCTGAGTCAATTTTGTTAAACTCTATGGTTTGGGAGTTTCGAGACAAAAACTCGCTCAGGAAAAAAAATTAAAATTGCGATGATAGACCTCTTAATATTAATAATATGGACTCAAACTTTTACAATAATTTTCACCCCAAACAATATTTACATTTATATTTGGTCCATTATTAAAAGATAAGAATAATAATTTATACCTAGTTGATTTTGATGCTTACTTGATGCTTTTCCCAATACCAATTAAATTGGATTTATCTTTGTTACACGGAGAAAAATGTATGTTAAAAACGCATATTAAAACTTATACAATAGATAGTAAAATAAATTATTATATAAATTAAAATACTGGATGTTAATAAGTAAATAAAAATATTATAATTATCTTATGGTTGAAGTTATGATACTGTTGATTAAATATTAATTTTACACTTTTTACTTAATATTTTATACAAATTAAGTAATATGTTAAAGCGCTTTAATATAAAATTTTATTATATTTATAGTTTATCTTAATTATATTTTCATATTAAAATTTATCACAAGATTTATCATAGATTTAACGTAAAATATAATAAATAGTATTACTTTAACGTAAAATATAATAAATAGTATTACAATTCTAATAACATTTATTATATTTTTTTCTCCGTGTAAAGTTCTTGCTCTAAGTATTTACAAGTTAAAGCAAGTTAAATTACATCACATTTATAAAAATTTGCTTACATCCTGTGGTCCACAGGACGATGCGCGACGGGCGAACTTTGTACTTGATAAAGTGGCGCGAATTGGCTTACGACCAAGCCACGTGGGAAGAAGAATCCGACGAATTGCCGGGCATCAAACCCGCCATCGAGTACTACCTGGATTTGCGCGCGCACGTTTTGAATCAAGGCAAGAAGAAGGGCAAGGGGAAAAAATCGAAATCCAAGCCGGAACCGATCGACGTGGATTCCCTATCCTCCCGCCGCTTCCAGGCCCCGCCGGAAAAACCTTGCACCGATTTAAAACGCAAGTACGAGAAGCAACCGATTTACCTGGACGAGTGCGGGATGCAGCTGCACGAGTACCAGCTCGAAGGTATCAACTGGTTGCGTTACTCGTGGGCGAACGCCACCGATACGATCCTGGCCGATGAAATGGGGCTGGGAAAAAACCATTCAGACGATCACGTTTTTGTACTCCTTGTACAAAGAGGGTCACTGCAAGGGCCCCTTTTTGGTCAGCGTGCCCCTCTCGACCATCATCAACTGGGAGCGCGAGTTCGAAACGTGGGCGCCGGATTTCTACGTCATCACCTACGTGGGCGACAAGGACTGCAGGTGAGCTGAAATCTCCATTTCTGTTCCTTAGTGGTAAAAAATAAAAAAAACGAAATAAAATGCATTTAGTTTTATCAATAAAGTATTTTTCGCACATCTAAAATTAAATCTACCACATAAATAACATTTTTATTTATAATATGTTTAAAAATGTAACGCCAGTCACGTGTCCCAAAGTCGTATATTAAATACAAAAATTAAAATTTTTATAAATTTTATATCATTAATTTTTTTCACTGTTTTTTTTTCAAATGTTTTTTTCTTCTTCATATTTTGTGTTTTTTTCAAGATTAGTTCCATTTGCCTAATTTTTTATGCTTCCAGTCCAGTTTATAGACTAAAATTTAGCCACTAAATGATGATTTGGTCTTAAAAAAAAAGTAACTACCTATAATAGACTTCAAGAAGTTTTTTTTACATTGTTATTGGTTTCTTATGTGTAAACTACCAAAACTACCAAAGAAATCAAATTTTTTAGTCCCGGTCAAAATTTTCAATATTGTACCCCTGTAAAATCTTTATTTATTTATTTGTTTTAAAGTGTAGATGTTGATAAACTGTATTTTTGGAGCAAAAGATGTCAGTTTTTAAGAGTAAATTTTTAAGAATTTATATTGGTGATTTTTTTAAACAAAATTTAAGCACGGCGGATTCACTACCCCTTAAAACGACCCTTTACTAAATTTTATTGACAAATTTTAAGTAGAAAAATGCACAATAAAGTAAAAATATTTATTCTGTCAAGTTATCCATTGAAATAAAATTAAACATATAGTAATTGTACCATGTTACTATTAGTTTAATTTTATTTCAATGCTTTTTTAAATGGACAACTTGACAAAATAAATTTTTGTAGTTATTACTGTTCATTTTTCTACTTAAAATTTTTCAATAAAATTTAGTATATGGTCGTTTTGAGGGGTGGTGAATCCAGTGCCGTGCTTAAATGTTGTTTAAAAAAAATCTCTAAAATAAATTCTTAAAAACTAACATAGTAGGCCTTGTGTTTTGTAAAAATATGGCGTTTTTGCTTCAAAAATACAGTTTATCTAGATCTGCACTTTAAAACAAATAAATAAATAAAGATTTTACAGGGGTGAGTCGCAAACAAATAGGTCACACTGTATATTCTAAATTTGAGGCGTATACTGCAAAAGCGGCCAAACTAAAAAAAATAATGTTGGTTTTTTATCTTAAAATATTCATATTACGTGCTTATCAAGTAAACTAGCCTAATAAAGTATTTTAATATAGTAATAACTACTCTTCTCATTAAAACACACTTTATTAGGCTAATTCACTTGATAATAAGAATATTTAAAGATAAAACCTCAAAATGATTTTTTTAGTTAGGCTTTTCTTTACTTTTACTGTGGAAAAATGTTAATTGTTAATCCATTTTCAAGGAATACATTTCAATTTATTACCTTTATAATCTGACATTTCACGGTAAGACAGATTTCCCTATTGTTTTATAGATGGCGCTCTATCAAACTTTATACATAATATACTCTTCCGATAAACCTTTTAAAATCTCGGCATGATTTTCCTTTACTTCAGTATTATAAGATGAAAATATTTTTTTAAACACACCATAGTCTCTAAAAAAATCAAGAATTTGAAAACAACAAAAGAAAACTGATGATTTTTAATAATTTTCATAAAAGTATCCATACAATTTATACTGTGTTAAAAGAAAAACAAAATCTTCTTAATTGGTAAACATCTAATATTATTATATTTTTATACACTTTGCGTCAAAATTAACGCATAAAAAGTAAAAAAAATCCAACTCTAAAACTTCTTTACCAATCTTTATAAAATTTTGGATAAAACTACTTTAACTTATATCTTAGTTTTCGTTTTCTAGGGTTTTTCGAAAAAATATCCTTAAAGCCCTTTTTTTTAATAATAAAAAACGCTCGAGAAAAAACTTTTAAAGGGAATTTTTTTAAGTAAATAAAAAATATGCTGTGAAAGACCGTATTTTTGTAAGTATACCCTGAAAATGTTGTACAAATCAAACGAACAGTAACGAAAATACAGCACCTCAAAGTCATCAAAAATGACCACTTTTCAGCAAAATAATCAAAATACTATGACGCTCTAAAAGTTATTTTTTGAACGTTTTTTTATTAAAAATATTTTCCCGAAAAACCCTCTGAGATATAAGTTGAAGTATTTTTATACAAAATTTCATAAAGATTGGTAAAGGCGTTTTAGAGTTTGTTTTTACTTATTATGCATTAACTTTGACGGGCAGTGTATTTTTCAATTAAAAATATCAACTTAAATTAGCGCGACCGGCGTTACATTTCTTCCTTATCTATCTCACAAAATGTAAGAAATAATAAAAATGCTTGTGAGTTGTGAAATAGACAGTTTAATATAATTAAAAATTCAGGGCTCCCACACCTCCTAAAACTCATAAAATTCCTAAAATTTTGCTTAAATCTTGAAAACTCCTAAAATTGCCTTCAATCTCCTAAAATCCTAAAAATTAAATTTAAATAGGCCAACCGACTGCGTTTAAAAAAAAAAATTTTTTTTTAAGTAATTTAAAAATATATAGTATAGTATAGTATATTTCGATAAATGATCATATGTACAATAGAAACTTAACTTATTATACAGTGTACCCTAAAGGTGTAGATCGTGTCAATATATATATATATATAATATATATATATATTATATATTTAGGTTCTATTTTATTAAATTCTTTTTAAAATGATATAATATCACAACTAAAATTTTTCTTAAAAAACAACATAAAAACTTCTACAAAATTGTCATTTTTAGCGATATTTCGTTTTTTAGTCAAAAATATACCAAACAAAAGGATTTTTAATTTTCTTTTAAATGACAGCTAAAATAGTAAACAATCTAAAGAATGTTTTGCTGTATTTTGGAAACTTCATATTTTGTTATGCGATTTTTAAGTATTAAGATCCACATTACAATTGAATCGGTGAGAATAAAAACAGTATAAGTCCAAAAATTTAATTTTGACAATTTATTTTCTAAATTCAATTTTAAAGTTTAAAATACATTTTTTTTAGAAGATATAAATTATTTTACAGAATATGAACATTATATTTTATAAAATATTTAAAATATTCCCACAAAAATACATTAGAACTATAAAACTGATGTTTTTAAATATTTTATCAAAAATTTTACTTTTGGTCTTGTACTATTCTTAACCTTATCGATTTAATTACTGTTAGTTATTAACTAAACAGTTAACATGTTTTTTCTTAAAATATAAAGATAACATCATTTGATTTTGGCATTAACCAAATCTATCGACGCATTTTTTTAAATTAAATTTAAAGTGTGTTGAAATTTATACTTGTATATGTACCTCAGATATATACAAAAGTAGTAATTTTACCTCACTTTTAATTTTATTTAAAAAAAAACTCGTCGAGCGATTTGGCTAAAAAACTAGTCAATATAACTTATTGTTACAAAATAAGTATTAATTTTTTTTTATTTTTTAAGTAGTAGTAGTAAAGATGTTTTTATTTAATTAAAGAAATTCATTTCCATACTTTATTTCTCCTAAAATTTTACAAAAAACCTCCTAAATTCCTAAATTAAATTTGTAATTTAGCCGTGGGAGCCCTGAAAATTAAACTTTTTACCCTTAATATGCATTTTATTGAATGGTTGAAAATGGGAAGCTAACACATTTTTACCCAGGTCCGTAATCCGAGAGAACGAGCTAGCGTTTGAAGAGAGCGCCAACCGAGGAGGCAAAGCCTCCAAAATCAAGGGCACCAACATCAAATTCAACGTCCTCCTCACGAGTTACGAGCTCATCTCGATCGACGTCGCCTGCTTGGGCAGCATCGATTGGGCGGTGCTCGTCGTGGACGAGGCGCACAGACTCAAAAGCAACCAATCAAAATTCTTCAGGCTGTTGAATAGTTACAACATCGCCTATAAGTTGCTGTTGACCGGTACTCCTCTACAAAACAATCTGGAAGAGTTGTTCCATCTCCTGAACTTCTTGAACGGCGAGAAGTTTAAGGATTTGTTGACTTTCCAGAGCGAGTTTGCCGACATATCGAAGGAAGATCAGGTTAAGAAATTGCACGAGATGCTTGGACCGCACATGTTGCGTCGTCTGAAAGCCGATGTTTTGAAGAACATGCCTTCCAAGTCTGAGTTTATCGTTCGCGTTGAGTTATCCCCGATGCAGAAGAAGTATTACAAGTGGATTTTGACGAGGAATTTCGAAGCTTTAAACCCTAAAGGGGGCGGTCAATCGGTTTCTTTGTTGAATATTATGATGGACTTGAAGAAGTGTTGCAACCATCCTTATTTATTCCCGGCGGCTTCTGAGGAAGCTCCGCTTGGCCCACACGGAAACTACGAAACTCAAGCGCTAATTAAAGCTGCCGGTAAACTCGTACTACTCTCGAAGATGCTGAAAAAACTGCGCGATACAGGCCACAGAGTCTTGATCTTCTCGCAGATGACGAAGATGCTGGACATCCTCGAGGACTATCTCGAAGGCGAGGGTTACAAATACGAGCGTATCGACGGAGCGATAACCGGAAGTCTTCGTCAAGAGGCCATAGATCGCTTCAACGCCCCTGGAGCTCAACAGTTCGTTTTTCTGCTCTCCACGCGAGCGGGCGGTTTGGGGATCAATTTAGCCACAGCCGATACTGTGATTATTTATGACTCCGACTGGAACCCGCATAATGATATACAAGCGTTCTCGAGAGCCCACCGTATCGGTCAAGCCAACAAGGTCATGATCTACCGCTTCGTGACGAGGAACAGCGTGGAGGAGAGGGTTACTCAAGTGGCCAAAAGGAAGATGATGCTGACTCACTTGGTGGTAAGACTTTTTTTATTTTTTTTTCATTGTTTTTTTTTCAAATGGTTTTTTTTTCAAATGGTTTTTTTTTCAAGATTAGTCCCATTAGCATAATTTTTTATGTTTCCAGTCCAGTTCTTGTAAAAATCTTGTAGAACATTTATTCATTGTTGTACGTTTTCCATCTAAAAATCTCAAAACTGGAAACTTCAAGCTTCAAATTGCTTTTTTTACGGCTCCAATACGACCATTTTTAACAAAGATACAGCTATACAAAAAATCGCAAAAAAAAAAATTTTTAATCCTTTAATTTTTTTTATATTGCTATTGGTTTCTTATGTGGAAACTACCAAATAATAAGAAATCAGATTTTTTAGTCTCTATCAAAATTTTCAATAATGAAAAATGTAATATATTCTACATTTTACTCAAAATTTCATTTTGAAAAATTACTTCATTTTTTAAAATTGATGTTATTTATTGACAGAATATGCTTTATTGCAGCGGATTTGAAGAAAAAAACAAAAAAAACTTTTTTTTTGCTTTTTTCAGTTTTTTCATTGTTTTTTTCAAATGTTTTTTTTTCACAATTTAGGTTTTTTTTTCAAGATTAGTCCCATTTGCCTAATTTGTTATGTTTCCTGTCCAGTTCTTGTAAAAAATCTTGTAGAACATTTGAGGCCTGTCAGAGCAAAGTCAACAATCTCCCATCAGACTAAAACTGAGTAAATTGAGATAATTGATTTTGGTATTTTAAATTTTAGATTTGTAATTTTTTTTATATATTATATTGAAATATTGTTGTTGTTAGTCTGGTAGTCAACTACAAGGTCTCCAGGATGCATATTATAGGTGAAATCGGTAATTATAAATTGGAGATTGCTGACTTTGATATGAATTGCTGGAGATTGCTCATTTTGTTGTAAACGTTTAAAGAGATTTAATAATTGTATTTTTATTCCTTTAAATGGTTATAAAATTTAACTATACAATCAATGTGGGAAAATTCTGAACTGGACCACATAAATCTGGAGTTTCTTGTAAATCTGGGACCAAGTTGCCTAGTGCAAAAAAGTTTTTTATAGTACAACTCATCATCTTCTTCCCACTTTACTCCGTAATGTTTTACTTGCAATGTTTTGACATTATCAGCCTTTTCTTGCTTTACCTTTATTATTATGGTATAATAGCACAAAATAAACAAGATAACTTTTTTTATAATTCTTAAAACAATAAAACGTATATATATCTATTTTAAATATATTTTTAAGTGCAATTTACTGCAATAGAACTTAACACTATGTACCAGTAAAAAAACACAAAATTAAATCTCTAAAATACGTTATAACATCAAATGTTAGGATTTCAGGTGAAACAAATTACTAATTTCTAATGGTGAAATTGGAGATTGTATACTTTGCTGCAAATCTATCAGTGGAGATTGTCGACTTTGCACTAAATGTCATTTTTAAAATAGGATTTTAGACAGGATTTAGCTCCTTTTGCAGCACATAAACTTTATCATCTTATAGATAATTAGTTGAAGTACAGTCTCCGCCAAAAATCTAATTTTTGACCGAAAGTGGAGATTGTCGGTTTTGCTATGACAAAATTTTATTCATTGGTGGTTAAGTCAGAACATCCGTGGACCAAAAAAGAAAGACAAAAAAATTTCGAATTTTTTTATTACGGTATTTGTTGCACGTTTTTCATCTAAAAATCCCAAAACTAGAAACTTCAAGCTTCAAATTGCCTTTTTTTACGGCTCCAATACGACCATTTTTAACGAAGATACAGCTATCCGAAAAATCGCAAAAAATTTGGATTTTTTTTAATCCTTTCATTTTTTTTATTAGCTTAGAAGTTTTACATTGCTATTGGTTTCTTATGTGGAAACTACCAAATAATAAGAAATCAGATTTTTTAGTCTCGGTCAAAGAAAAATGTAATATATTCTACATTTCACTTTATTATTAATATACATTTTACTCAAAATTTAATTTTGAAAAATTACTCCATTGATGTTATTTATTGACAGAATATGCTTTATTGCAAAAAAACGTTTTTTCATGTTTTTTTTTCACATCTGAAAAAACCGTTTTTTACATCTCCAGGTAAGACCCGGCATGGGCAGCAAAAGCACCAACTTCACCAAGCAAGAACTGGACGACATCCTCCGTTTCGGTACCGAAGAGTTGTTTAAAGAAGACGAAGGCAAAGAGGACGAGGCCATCCACTACGACGACAAAGCCATCGGGGATTTACTGGACCGCACCAAGCAGGGTATCGAGCAGAAAGAGAATTGGTCGAACGAGTACCTCAGCTCTTTCAAAGTTGCGAGTTATGTGACTAAAGAAGGCGAGGGGGAGGAGGAAGTCGATACCGAGATTATTAAACAGGAAGCGGAAAATACCGATCCCGCCTACTGGATAAAACTTTTAAGGCACCATTACGAACAGCAGCAAGAAGATATGGCGCGCACGCTGGGTAAAGGCAAGCGCGTGCGTAAACAAGTAAATTACAACGACGGCGGGATGACTACGGATACTCGCGAAGACTCGACGTGGCAAGAAAACTTATCGGACTATCATTCGGATTTCTCCGCTGGTTCCGAGGAAGATAAAGAAGACGATGATTTTGACGAAAAGAACGAAGGCGGCGGCGATATGAGTCGCAGCCGCCGCCGCCGCATGGAGCGCAAAGACGAACGCGACAGACCCTTACCGCCCTTATTGGCCCGCGTTGGCGGTAACATCGAGGTTCTCGGTTTCAACGCGCGTCAACGTAAGGCCTTCCTCAACGCGATCATGCGCTACGGAATGCCGCCGCAGGACGCCTTCAACTCGCAGTGGTTGGTGCGCGATCTGCGAGGCAAATCGGAGAAGAACTTCAAGGCTTATGTGTCCCTTTTCATGCGGCATTTATGCGAACCTGGTGCCGATAACTCTGAAACCTTCGCGGACGGAGTGCCGCGCGAAGGTTTGAGTCGTCAGCACGTTTTAACCCGCATCGGGGTCATGTCTTTGATCAGGAAGAAGGTGCAGGAATTCGAGCACATCAACGGCGAGTACAGCATGCCCGAGGTCATCAAGAAGAACATTTCAGATGCGGCGGCTGCTAAAGCCGCTTCTGCCGAAAGTGAGACCCCCAAAAGTGCCACCACCAGCACTAGCACTAGCGCCGCCCCAAGTCCAGCTCCCACTCAAGCCGAGAGCGTAGATAAAGAGAAAGAAAACGAGGAGAGTAAAGATTCTCCCAAAGACGATAAGGATAAAGAAGAAGCTTCCAAAGACGACAAAGACAAGGAGAAAGAGAAAGAACCGGAAAAGGAAACGCCCGCCGAAGAAACTAAAGAACCCGTCGAGGAAAAGAAAGACGAACCCGCTCCGGAACTCAAAAAGGAAGAAGTCGAAGCAATCAAAGAAGAGGTGAAGGAAGAAGACAAAGAAAAGGAGGAGGAAAAGGTGGAAGTCAAACCTGAGGAAAAGGGAGACGATAAGAAGGATAAACCTGAAGAATCCGCCGACAAGAAGGAGGAGGAAGTCCAGAAGGAGCCCAAAGAAGAGAAGAAAGAAGACGAGGCCGAGAAGAAGAACGAGGCGAAGGCGAATACTGAAAAGAAGGAGGGCGAAACTGAAGTTGTGATTGTTGAAGAAGATAAGAAAGAGGTAAATGCACAATCTTTATATGAGTACCTTAGATGCAAAACTCGGTTTTTGCAAATTTAAAAAAAAAAAAAAATTGGCTTTAAATTCTGTTTGGTGTTCTTCCTAGATAAATGGCGTTTATAAAACTTGATACATAATAATATATATAATATAATATTATTATGTATCAAGTTTTATGAACGCCATTTATCTAGGACGAACACTAAACAGAATTTAAAGCCAATTTTATTTTATTTTTTAATTTGCAAAAACCGAGTTTTGCATCTAAGGTACTCATATATTTACACTACCTATTTTAGGATTAATATTTTAAAAAGTAGAATTACTATTTTAGTTAAGAAAGTTTAGGAATCAAAAACAATTTAAATTTTTTTTAAAACGCCTTTACCAATCTTTATAGAATTTTGGATAAAAATACTTTAACTTGTATCTCAGGGTTTTTCCAGAAAAAGCGCTCGAAAAAAACTTTTATAGGGAATTTTTTAAGTAAATAAGAAATATGTTGTGAAAGACCGTATTTTTGTTAGAATATCCTGAAAATGTACCGACTTTGAAGCGCTGTATACAGCATATTTAGTTAAAAAAATTCCCTAAAAGTTATTTTTCGAACGAAATATTTTATCGAAAAACGCTCGAAAACGTAAACTGAGATATAAGTTGAAGTATTTTTGCTAATTTATTAGATTAACTCACACATTTTCTTTAATTTTATGAATTTGTAAAAAATCATTATCTTCTAATAAAAATGCATTTTTGAATACAAAGGTGATTTTATGAATAAAACACGTTAAAACTCTTTTTAGGACATTTTTGGGATGAAATTGAAATAAAAAAAATACTCAAATTATCTTGAAACTTTAAAAGAGTTTTAAAGTGTCGAAAAAAAGCGTCGGAAACTTTATATCAGTGTACGAATATTATCCGTGAAAATTTGGAAATTTTAAGAAAAATTTACTTATACATTTTTTCCCCTATTATCAAAAATAAAATTAAAAAAAAATCACAATTTTTCCGTTTTTATCCAGAAAAAAACGCTTTCTCAATTTTTCCGAAAATTTTAAAACCCTAATTATGTTAGAAAATTAATATTTTTTATATAGGACTTTTATTACAAAATTTTTAGTGCAAAAAGCCGTTTTTGTAAAAAGTAATAATTTTATAAAATAAGTATTTTAGTAATTTTATACCATAAGAATTTTAGTAATTTTATACCATTACTTTTTAAATTTTTAAAATTTATTGTAAAAATGAGCCCTAAAAAGCGTTTTCAACGCAATTATATTCATGAAACCCCTAATGTAGCACAAAAAAGCATTTTAGTGACTAAAATACTCAAATTATGTTCAAACTTTAAAAGAGTTTTAATGTGTCGAAAAAAAGCGTCGGAAACTTTATATCAGTGTACGAATATTATCCGTAAAAATTTGGAAATTTACAGAAAAATTTACTTATGCATTTTTTTTCCTATTATTATAAATAAAATTTTAAATAAATCACAATTTCTTCGGAAAATTTTAAAACCCTAATTATGTTATAAAATTAATATTTTTCATAAAATACTTTTATTACAAAATGTTTAGTGCAAAAAGCCGATTTTGTAAAGAGTAATAATTTTATAACATAAGTATTTTAGTAATTTTATACCGTTACTTTTTAAATTTCATTGTAAAAATGAGTCCGCGTTTTCAACGCTATTCTATACATAAAACCACTTTTGTAGCTCAAAAAAGCATTTTAGTGAAAAGCCATTTAGACCGGATATATTACAAATATCTAGTTTAATAAATTGGCCAGGGTCTGTACTTTGCAACATTCAAAAGCTGGGAGTATCTTGTAAAAAAAGATACTTACAATTAACTTAGATACTTAAAGTATCTAAGATACTTTATCTTAGATACTTTTTATAGTGGAGAGAAAGTATCTATAACTTAAAGTCTATTCAAATCCAAGCTGGACTAAATGTAAACACAATCCTCCGAATCGACCAATAAGAGCTCACAATCCGAGTTACACCATCAAAATCGACCAATAGAAATGAGTTATCACGAGTCTGGGCGTTTTTGTTTAGTCCAGCTTGGATTTGAATAGACTTTAGTTACTTTGGAAAAATTATCTTGTAACTTGTATCTTAAAAAGTATCGAAGTTACTCTCTAAAGTAACTAAGATACATTCAAGTAACTTAGATATTTTAAAGTAACTAAGATACTTTTTAAAGTAACTAAAATAATTTTGAAAATAACTTAAATACTTTTAGTGTAACTTAGATATTTTCTTAGAAAAAATTAGGAGAATTCCAGAATGATTCAAAGTAATTACCTTGTTGAATTTTTATAATTTTATAGTTTTTATTTTGTTTAAAGTATCTTAAAAAAGTAACTAGATACTTTTCAGAAGTAACTTTCTGACAACATTCCATTTTTTTTCTTCTTAGGAGAAAAAGAAGCCCGAAATCGACTTCGCCGAACTGAAGCGTCGCTTCATGTTTAACATCGCGGACGGAGGTTTCACCGAACTGCACACGCTCTGGCTGAACGAAGAGAAAGCCGCCACGCCTGGCCGCGAGTACGAAATCTGGCATCGCCGCCACGATTACTGGCTTCTGGCCGGCATCGTGACCCACGGTTACGGCCGTTGGCAAGACATCCAGGCCGACGCGCGGTTCGCCATCATCAACGAACCGTTCAAAATGGACGTCGGCAAAGGCAACTTCTTGGAGATCAAGAACAAGTTCTTGGCCAGAAGATTTAAGGTAAGAATTAATTAACTTAAGGCCTGGCTCCATCTGCATCGTCTCTCTCGAACCCTTTTTGGGATACGTAAGTGACTTGAAGATGGTTTTAGTGACCCTAATGACCCGGATTATACGCCCACAAGACAATAATGTCGACCCAAACCTAGGTATAACTCGAAATCCCCGTAGACAAGGATTTGGCTTCTTATTCCAAGTACTGACTTCAAAGAAGATTCAGCCAGTCGTTATTTTTTTTAAGTTGAGAAATTAAGCTGCTATGCGCAAATTATTTATCTCAATGGGCAAAACCATTTTTCGTCTTCAGTACCGAAATATTGCCGTCCGAGTCGGGTTTATCAGAATAAGCAGCAGAATCCAAGAAATATATAACTGCTCCTTTTAAGTAATAACTTCAAAAAGATTCAGCCGGTCTTGTTTACTATAGTGGCTTATAAGCTTTAATAAAACTTAAAATCGATATTAAAAAAAAACCTGAATCAATCTAAACATTCTGTAAACGCAAAAAGGCATTCTTTGGATAGGAGAAGCGAAAACCACTTTCAGAACCCCATCATTTTTTTTTGTTTTAGTTTAAATTAATGAATAACGGTTTTTCGGGTTTCAAAATTAATAAAACTTAATTAAAATCGATATTAAAAAAAACCTGAATGAATCTAAACATTCTGTAAACGCAAAAAGGCATTCTTTGGATGGGAGAAACGAAAACCACTTTCAGAACCCCATCATTTTTTTTGCTGTTGCACTGTCTAATTTGTTTTTATTATCATTACAAAATTAATAAATCTATTACATTTTCAAGATTTGTCCATTTTTTTTTTCAACAATAATTATATATATATAACGCTAGAAAAACAAAGGGAATACCGTTTTCCGAATACGATAAATACGAAGTCCGTGTAAAAAAGTTTGTATTAGCTAACATCATTTTCGTAGACGAGTTAAAAACCTTGCCTATGTATTTTGTGGTATTCACAGAATAATTACAACTTAAAAGTATACATATTATAACTGATTGACAACTTTAGTGTTACGTAGATAAAATGGATAAGTAACTACCTACCAATTACCTGTGTACTGAGCTTAAGTACGTTTCCTTGAAAACTAATCCATGAAAACATTCTCCGTATACAAAATTAGTTGACTGGATTTTTGTGCAACAGGAACGTTGTTCAATAAACACAACTTAAATTAAATAAGATGTATTTATTTTAATACAGAGATGATACTTGGTTGAATGCTAATGAATAACTAACTAAAATAACAAGAGCAGACTGCCACTCTTACAGAAAAAACTGAGTAGTCAGCCCCAAAGATAATCTTTGGTCAGCCCTTTTTAAATATAAAAAAATATGACGCAGTTCTCGACCCCTTGCGTGGTCTTTTAAAAACACAAAGCAACTTGCTCACGTCGCATTTCCTCTTGGTTACATTTTGTTTATAGTATCTAAATATCGTAAATATGATTTTATAAAACACATTAAGTTGACAGTGTTTTATTGCACTATACATAAAATAAAAACTTACCATTATATTATAAAAAATAGTTGAACGTGTTTTGTTAACAAATATTTAAATAAAATCTTTATTCACAAAACATGCATAATGTCTTTATATGTTTTATTGTTTTAAAAATCCCCCTCCTCTTTACCTTTATGAAATAACAAATTTCTTTATTTTTATAATGTTAGGTAGTTCAAAAATGGCGATATATTACATTTTATAGGGATCTATTACTTTTTTCTGTAAAATCTGTTACGCTTTTTTTTCGCTGGGAACAACACTGAACATTGTTTTTCTCTGCGTTATAGCTTTTGGAGCAAGCGCTCGTGATCGAGGAGCAACTGCGTCGCGCCGCCTACTTGAACCTCACGCAGGACCCCAACCACCCCGCGATGTCCTTGAACGCGCGCTTCGCCGAGGTGGAGTGCCTGGCCGAGTCGCACCAGCACCTCAGCAAGGAATCCCTGGCCGGCAACAAGCCGGCCAACGCCGTGCTGCACAAGGTGCTCAACCAGCTCGAGGAGCTGCTGTCGGACATGAAGTCGGACGTGTCGCGCCTGCCCGCCACGCTGGCGAGGATCCCGCCCGTCGCGCAGCGGCTGCAGATGAGCGAGAGGAGCATCCTGAGCAGGCTGGCGGCCACCTCCTCCTCCGGAAGCCAGTCGGCTGGTAAATGTAATCAATTTTTTTTTTCTTTTTTTTTAGTTAGTTAGTTGGTTTACATTTTTCTTTGCAAAATTAAAATTTTTAGGGCTCCCACATCTCCTAAAACTCATAAAATTGCGTTTAATTGAGGTAGTTAAACTAAAAAATTTAAAAAATATATTTTAGGTTCTAGTTTATTAAATTCTTTTTAAAATGATATACACAATAGACTGGGCCAAAAAAATTGACTATGTTTTTTTTTTGAAAAATTTCGTGAAAATTTGAGCCATTAATATTAATTTTAAGAGGTCTATCATCGCTATTTTTGATTTTTAGTCATAATTTGATGTTTTACGTTTTTTTTTTCACTTACTTTTTTATAAAATTAAATTCTCTACCAAAAAGGTCTGATTGAAAATTTTCGTCAGACGAGCCGTTTCCGAGTAATTGAGAGTAATAAATCTATGTGTTTTTTCGATTTGCCCTTTTTACTTTGAAATTTTGTCACTAATGAATCAATGAATATTTAAAAAAGCTCACGTCGGATTCTTAAAGGAAATTTAATGTTCTACAAAAAAGGTCTCTTAACATTTTTGCCTAAATTTAATTCTTCAAAAGTTATTCACGATTAAAATCGAAGAAAAACTTAAAATTTCAATTTTTTCTCCGTGAAATTTTGACAGTTCTAACGTAAAACATCAAAATACATTAAATTAATTAATATTAATATTAATTAATTAATATTAATATTAAGGGCTCAAATTTTCACGATTTTTTTTTTTGTCATTCTGAATAACATTCTTGATATATTTAAAAAAAAAAAATAGTCAATTTTTTTGGCCCAGTCTAATACACAACCTACATTTTTTCCTAAAAAATAACCAAATATATCTAAAAAAACAAAATTCATTTAGTAGCTCCTAGACTTCTACAACAGGATTTTAACTTTCTTTTAAATGATAGCAAAAATATTAAACAATCTAAAAATTGTTTTTTGCTGTATTATGCAAATTTTATCTTGTTTCTATTACGAGATTTTTGAGTAACAAAATCCACATTACAATTATTCTTAGTTATTAACAGTTACTAAACATTTAACTTTTTTTATTTGACTTTGGCCTAGTTTTTAAGCCATATCTATCGACGCGCTTTTTAAATAAAATTTAAAGTGGTGAAATTTCTACTTACTTGTGTATATTAGACTGGGCCAAAAAAATCGACTATATTTTTTTGTAAAGTATATCGAAAATATTGTTTGGAGTGACAAAAAAATTATGGTGAAATAATATTAATATTAAGAGGTCTATCATCGCAATTTAAATTTTTTTTTCCTCAGCAAGTTTTCGTCTCAGAACTCCCAAACTATTGAGTTTAACAAAATTGACATAGAAATATGTTTTTAAGAAAATGAAATGTTCTACAAAAAATGTTCAAATGAAATTTTCCGTCAGATGAACCGTTTTCTTACAATCATGCCTTAAAATTGGTATAGTTTTACAATTTGATCTTTTAACTTTGGAATTTTGTAATTCATGTAAAAATCAGTACCCGGAAAAAAACCGATGAATATTCTTATGGGAAATCAAATGCTCTACAAAAAAAGTCTCCTAACATTTTTGGCTAAATTCATTCAATCAAAAGTTATTCAAGTTATAACGAAATTCTTGTTTTTTCCTCTGTAGATTTATTTTTTATGGGTGATAATTTGATTATTTTCTTTATACATATGTATTATACAGTGCTTGCAAATCCAAGTCCGACCGCACTGGAAAGGACGGCTGTTCAATACCCGCGTGAAAAGAACAAGGATAGAACGCCAAATAGAATTTGATTGGCCAGAGCCGGCAGGCTACGACAACGCATACCCATCGCGCACCTCGCAGCGTGCTTGCCTCGAGGATATCAGAACGAGAACTGCAGTGGTGCCAGCAAGAGGTAGTAATTTTAGTAAAAAAGATTATTTAATTAAAAAATGTACACGTTGGAACAAAAAGTTCAGATTTTAATCTGGCACTTTGCTGGTAATTCTGAACGAGAAATTCAAAGATTATTTGCGGGAATGTTCGAGGCCATACCAAACAGAGAAACAATTCGACGAAACGTTAATAATTTTCTCACGCACGGTTGTGTAGTTCCGATGCAGTTCCGACGGGAATTTTTATAATAGGTTATGCTATTGTTTGGCTGCCTATGGGGGCTTGTTCGAACATTTAATTTAATTTTTGAGTTTATTTATTTTTATTTATAGTTATTTTTATTCAAAATTATTTTTTATTTGAGAAATCTTTTTTATTAAGAATACTATTTTTGTTGTTGCCCTAGTTCTCAAGGAAAAAAATCAAACAATTTTATTTTTAGGATTCGGGTATAAAATATTTAAAAAGAAAATTAAAATGTGCATCTACACTCTAACGCAGTTTGCTTAGCACTAAATCATTTAGTCTAAATGCAGCCAGACTGAGAGTTGACCTCGCTTACAATTCGCACGCATCCGGGGCTCTGGCCAATCAAATTCTATTTGGCGTTCTATCCTTGTTCTTTTCACGCGGGTATTGAACAGCCGTCCTTTCCAGTGCGGTCGGACTTGGATTTGCAAGCACTGTATAACTAATTTACAATTTCCAATAAAAAAACAACATGATAGTTATTATTTAAACGATTAAATAGGTAACAGTGAAAATAATATTTTCTAAAGAAAATAGCTTCTTAAAGCGAAAAAAACTCTAATGTGTTATTTTTTTTTAATTTTCAGTAATTTTATCAATAACATAAATATATTATCGATAAAAGAATTCAAGTTTTTAACTGACCAAAAAAAAATCTAGAGCAGATAAAACAAGAATTCGTTTTGACTTTTTAACCTTGAATAACTTTTGATGGAGTGAATTTAGCCATAAATGTTAAGAGGCTTTTTTTGTTAAGCATTTGATTTCCCATAAGAATATTCATCGCTTTTTTTCCGGGTACTGATTTTTACATGAATTACAAAATTCCAAAGTTAAAAGATCAAAATGTAAAACTATACCAATTTTTAAGGCAAGATTTTAAGGAAACGGTTCATCTGACGGAAAATTTCATTTTAATCTTTTTTGTAGAGCATTTAATTTTCTTAAAAAAATATTTCTGAGTCGTTTTTGTTAAATTCAATAGTTTGGGAGTTTAAAATTGCGATGATAGACCTATTAATATTAACATTATGGACTTTAAAAACTTTCAAAACTATAAAAAAAACTCGTCGAGCGATTTGGCTAAAAAACTAGTCAATGTAACTTATTAGTACAAAAGAAGAGATATTTATTATTATTTTTGTTAAAAAGAATTATTTATTTTTGTTGTTTTTATTTAAATACAGAAATTCATTTGCATACCTTATTTCTCCTAAAATTATCCAAAAACCTCCTAAATTCCTGAATAAAATTTGTAATTTAGCCGTGAAAATTACAACAACAAATATTAGACATATTTCCCAACACGGAAACAAAACACAAAGTGCTTAAGCATTTTGTGTTTTGTTTTGGTGATAGGGAATATTTCTAATATTTGTTTATGATACATTTGTTTAAAAATTATGGCACGCCATTTTAGCATTTATTAAATAATAGTTTGAAGACTTTATTGATTTTTAACAGAAATTTACAAACTTACATTTTTTTAAACTCAAAACAATTGAAAATGAAAAAATATTTGAAATGTAAAATACAACTGTAAAACTTTGAGCTTAAAAATATTGATTTTTAAAAATTTTAGTTCAAATATTTTATTCTACAAAATTTTCGGTTTAAATTTGTAAAGAGTCATTTAAATGAAAGTCGATAAATTTTTAATACGAGAATTTCCCCATTACATTTAAATGTAAGTTTTAAATTTTAAAGTGGTAATTTTTGGATTAAAAATTTATTGACCATCATTTAAATGACTCTTTACAAATTCAAACCAAAACTTTTTATTTTTAACAATTTATAATTTATAATCTTACATTTAAATGTAATTTACAAAGTCGGTAAATTATTAACCCAAAATTTACCACTTTAAAATTTAAAATGTAACTTTACAAATTAAAGCAATTATTTTGTAGAATAAAACATTAAAACTAAAATTTTTAAAAGCCAATATTTTAAACTTAAACTTTTACATTTGCATTTTATATTTAAAATATTTTTTGATTATGAATTGTTTTGAGATAAATTTAACTTTTTAAACTATTCTGGTAGAAAATATTCTATGTGTTTTTATTTTAAATGTCTTGACACTATTTTTAAATACTAAAAAATTTAACCTTACCAATTTAATCTAAATAATTTTATAAAAAATTTATTCAGGATTTACAAAATTCTGCCCAAATAAATTATACTTAAGAAATTATTTTTATTAAAAGAAGAGTTAAAAATTTTTGCCAAAATTGATTGGAAATAACATTACAGAACATCCTCTCTAATGTTGTTTTTGTTGTAGCTCAAGTAATGAGCCAGTTTCCGGCCGGCTTCAACGCCGGTAATTTGCCGGGTTTCGCAGCTGCAGCTGCCAACTTCGCCAACTTCCGGCCGCAGTATTCTGTTCCTGGACAACCGCCAACAGGTTTCCCATCATAGATATGTACGTAGTCGATTTTAACTTTTTTTTATTACTCTGTGTATTGCTTTTATCACATTGGCGGGCGATAATAAAACGTTTTACCGCTAAACCGTGATTTTTTTTCTTGTTTCAGAATTTCATCGTTTTGTACACATTGCTCAGAACTTTAAAACTCGGCTTTTGGTGTCCTAATTTAACTTACTTTTATCCATTTGATTTAATTATTTTTTGTGTAGTCAATAAATTCGGCATTTATTTATTTTTGTAATGATAAATCTTCGCACGTTCTGTGCTCCTATTAACAACTGTTGTTTTTGTCCCTCCAAGCATATGAATCGAAAAGATTGTTCATATTGTCTGATATTTTACATTAAAATGATGTATTGTGATTTTATATGTATTTTTTTATTTATGTGCTCATTAAATTTGTTATGGGGACACAGAATGGACCCAATTGGTAGAAATTTAGCAATAGCAACTTGTTATTCATATACAAGTTAAGGTAGGATTTTTTAAATTATGTTTAGCATTCCTCAGAATAATAAACATTACAAAAACATCAAAGTATTTTTTCAATCCCAATAAAACCCAACATATGAATAACAATGATTACAACATTACAACTTATCCAAATTATCCCAATTATTTACATTATCATACAAAACACTGAAACTTTGGGAGTATCTTCAGGAGGATAAAAAAGCAAAAAAACCTTGTTTGAAATATAAAAAAAAATTCTTACCTTTTACAGAATTTCTCTGATTTTGTTTTAAGTGGTTGGGCTCAGGTTAAAAATTAATTTAAAAATCTAAATCTTTGGAAGTACCTTCAGAAGGGTAAAAAAGTAAGAAAAAAAGCTTGTTTGAAAAAATTAAGGTTTTTCTTACCTTTTAAGGAATTTTTCTGATTTTTTTAAAAAGTGGTCTGGGCTCAGGTTTAAAAATCTGAATCTTTGAGAGTACCTTCAGAAAGGTGAAAAAGTAAGAAAAATCCTTGTTTGAAATAAATATGTTTTTTTCTTACCTTTTAAGGAATTTTTCTGATTTTTTTAAAAAGTGGTAGAGCTCAGGTTTAAAAATCTGAATCTTTGAAAGTTCCTTCAGAAGGGTAAAAAAGTAAGAAAAAACCTTGTTTGATGTTTTTTCTTACATTAAGCAATTTTTATAATTTATCTGAATCTTTGAAAGAAAAAAAGTAAGAAAAAATCTTGGTTTAATTAAAATTATGTTTGTTCCTTACCTTCTAAGAAATTTTTCTGTTTTTTTTAAGTGGTTGGGGCTCATTAAAAATTAATTTAAAAATCTGAATACCTTTAGAAGGGTAAAAAAGTAAGAAAAAACCTTGTTTGAAATAAAAATTATGTTTATTTCTTACCTTTAAAGGCCTTTAAAGGAATTTTTCTGATTTTTTTAAAAAGTGGTCTGGGCTCAGATTTAAAAATCTAAATCTTTGGGAGTACCTTCAGAAGGGTAAAAAAGGAAGAAAAAACCTTGTTTGAAATAAAAATGGTTTTTTTCTTACCTTTTACAGAATTTATTTAAAAATCTGAATCTTTGGGAGTACCTATAGAAGGGTAAAAAAGTAAGAAAAAAAACTTGTTTGAAATAAAAATTATGTTATTTTCTTATACCTTTTAAGAAATTTTTCTGATTTTTTTTAAAAGTGGTCTGGGCTCAGATTTAAAAATCTGAAACTTTGTGAGTACCTTCAGAAAGTAAAAAAGTAATAAAAAACCTTGTTTAAAATAAAAATTATGATTTTTTCTTACATTTTTTATAATTTATTTAAAATTAATTTAAAAATCTGAATCTTTGGAAGTTCCTTCAGAAGTATAAAAAAGTAAGAAAAAACCTTGTTTAAAATAAAAATTGTTTTTTTCTTACCTTCTGAGGAATTTTTATGATTTATTTTTTAAGAAGTGGTCAGGGCTCAGGTCATAAATTAATTTACAAATCTGAATCTTGGTAGTACCTTTAAAATTATGTTTTTTTCGTATACCTTCTAAGGAATTTTTTTATTTTTTTTTAAGTTGTTTAGGGCTCATTAAAAATCTGAAGCTTTGGGAGTACTTTCAGAAGCCTTCAAGGGTAAAAAAAAGTAAGAAAAAAAATTTGTTTGAAAGAAAAATGATGTCTTTTCTTACCTTTTAAAGATTTTTTTTAAAAGTGGTCATTGCTCACGTTAAAAATTAATTTACCTAATAAAACCCAACATATAAAAAACAATGATTTAATACATTACAACTTATAAATATAATAATTTATCCCGATTATTTACATTATCATACAAAACACTCACAAAGAATTCAAAAGATCGTTATACGGCATATCGTGTTTGTCCTTGACCTTCCTGAAATTGTCAACAAACGTATTTTTCTGCTTCTCGTCCGTCAAATTCCTGTAGAAATCCGCACCCGCAATGCAAAGCATCTTGCGGTCCTCGTATTCGTATCTACCCACTCTAGTTTGAACGTACGGAAAATAAGACCGCAACCATCGGTTACTGCTGGCGCTAATGAAAAAGCAAGTCAGGCACCACGTTGCCAAACCTATGGAGAACGATTGCGTGAAGTTGGAAAGGCTAAAGACCACCCAGTCTTGAAGCAGGGACAGTTGGTCTTTTTTGATAGCGCTGCCAAAAACCTTTTAAAAAAAGATTTTTTTGTGAGTTTTGATTCTTTCAGTCAAGTACACACGGTGGTCAAAACTTTAGTATAGGACGAATAAAAATGCCAACCAAAACTGTTTTTATCAAAATCCCAGCTGATCCTATTTTAAAGTTTTGCAAACTTTTTTGTTTTTCTATTTCTATATATTATTTTGCAATTATTGTACTAAAACTACCTGTACAATTTTAATAAAATTAAGCAAAATAATAAACTTTGTATCATTTAAATTACTTTACTCCCCAGTATTAATTTATTTTGAGTCACCTATTATTTTTTACCACTCAAAACATAACAAAAAAACGAAGATTAAATATTTTTTATAACAAAAAATACTGGAAGTTTGTCTATGAAATAATTACAACTTGCAAATTTTGTAAAACAATTATTAAGGTGGTTATGAAAAAAATTGCTATACGTTATAACGCAAGTGACATTTTGCTTTAGTTGTTTATTTAATGTATACTTTATAAAGTTAAAAATAGTATTTTAAAGTGAAAATTAATCCGAAATTCAAGTTAATCCATGAAGAAAATCGAAAGAAGGTATGTGCTGGCTGTGGAGACAAAATTGTTTTTGGTAATCGAAAAATTCAGAGTTAAGGGTTTCTGAGAAAATATAAAAATTACTGCAGACTTTTTCAAACGAACACTTTAACTTAAGTAATTCAAAATTACCTACTTCAATATGGTAAAAACGGTATTTTTGCATAGCCACAATTGCCAAATTTTCAAAATTTAGAAATTGCTAGAGAATTTCGCGGCAGCCAAGAATGTATGTGCTTTATCTGCAAAATGGCAAGATATAAAGGGCATAAAAAATTATTAAGGGAAGAAGACGGACAAACGAACTAAAGTTTTGATATGCTCTTCCTTTCTAGGGGATATCGCTAGATGTAAGAAGCATGTTTGTAGTACAAACTTTGTACAGAGACTGAAGAATTTAAAAATACTGTTTTCATGTTAAAAACAATTCCATGTAAAACTCAAGAAAAAGTTTTACTGAAAATTTAAGGCAAGCAGTAATCAATTTTGCTTTAAAGAATCTTTAGTTATTTATTAGTTTTGTATTAGGTACCTTAAAACAATAAATAAGATATTGCAAACTGTATTTTACATTATTTTGTATTTATAATGTAATTTATTCATATTCAGTCATGTATCTGCCAAATTTTTAAAAACATTTGATAATGGTACTAGAGTATTTTATCGAAATGGCATAAACAATTTTAAAATACTAAGAAATATGCAAAACTTTAATAAAGGATCAGCTGGGATTTTGATGAATACATTTTTGTGTTACCAAAAGAGTATAATCAGATTATGCTATCAGTTTTGGTTGGCATTTTTGTTCATCCTAAACTTTAGTTTTGACTACTGTGTGCAAAATAAATCCTAGGAGTCCCAAAAGTTCCACAAGGATCTGTATTGGGACTACTATGATTTATTTTGTACACAAATTACTATTTTAATATAAATAAATACCTCAAAAACTACTCTGCTAAGCCTTTTTGGATGCGGCTGTTGTGGCGACAGAAATTCACCTATAACTTTGGTCAAAACATCGGAAGGTGCAAAAAAATCGTCCAAAATCGTTGGAAGTACAGATGTTAATATTTCCACTTCAAAATCGTAACCTTTCTTGATTTTCTCGAAAATTGCCGATATTTTTTCTATCGTTTGCACCAAATGATCCGGATTTGTTTCCCTGTATTCAGTGCTTAAAGTTTTTTCCAGATGATCTGAACAATCTAAAAATACGATGTGAACAATGTTCTTAAATATTCAGTTTGGTGTTCACCTGTGTACATGTAGGTTATTAAAAGTTGGGTGCCCAGAAACGATTTCGTCGTATTGTCATGTTTCATATTTTCCAGGGCCAGATTAAGAATTTGTTTTCCTATTTTTTGTATCAAGTCTTTCTTTACAATTATCAACCTTTCCAAACCCTAAAAACACCATAATTTTTGTATGGTTTTAATGTAATAAGCACAAAAATCATACCTTTATTATGGAATTGTATATTTTGGAATTTTTTTGCTCCTGTAACACTAAGAAAGCAGTCTGTAAAGTATTCATCACAAAATTCGATTCCATATGACTCTCATCAATATTTTCAATCAGATAAAACGCTATTGACCATACTAAATGAGAGTGGTCCTGAGATTTGATAAGAACACTGCAAAAATATATTTAAAAAAATATCTTACGCAATTTTCGCGTATTACCTGTTACTCGGTTTCAAATTAACCTGTATATACTCCACCACGCAAGGTAAAATTATTTGCATTTCGTCGGATATGCCTCCTATCGATATATTATTCAATTTACATCCTTCGAGAATGTACAAAATACCGCATAAACATGCAATTCGTGACGGTATAAAGGCGTATTTTAAGTATTGCACCAATAACTTTTTGATGGTCTCAAATGTGTCCAAATCCTAAAATAAATAAAAAATAATATTACCTATACAGGTTTTCCTAAAAATGGTGATCCAAGTGAGTAGTTTTTGAGTTTTTAGCATTTAAACATTTCGTACCCGATTGTAACCGTACATTGTAATTACCCGAGCGTTTTTATTTTATTAAATTTAAATCAAAAGTTTCAAATTAAAAGCAATGCCAAATCATTATATATTTCGTATTCTTAACAATTTTTCTAATTTTAAATCGCCATTAAATTTTTTTTGGTCCTTTAATAAAAATTATGTTTTTTTTTACCTTTTACAGAATTTTTCTGGTTGGGCTCAGGTTAAAAATTAATTTAAAATCTAAATCTTTGGGAGTACCTTCAGAAGGGTAAAAAAGTAAGAAAAAACCTTGTATAAAAATAGTATATTATGTATCAAGTTTTATAAACGCCATTTTATACACGAATTTAATTTAGGCACGAGCGAGCTTGCGAGCGAGTGCTTAAATTAATGAGTGTATAGAAAAGTTTATAAACGAGGTGCATACTATACTTTTTCTACGACAAATACTTATTATTATCTTAAAATGATTTAAATCAAAAAATTTTATAGAGCGCCATCTATGAAACAATAGGGTAATCTGTGTGTCACCGCCAAATGTCAAATTTGTATATACTTAAACACAGACTATAAAGGTTATAAATCGAAATGTATTTCTTGAAAATTGACAGTTTTTCACAGTGAAAGTAAAGAAAATGAGCACTTTACAGTGGAGTCCGTGCCCGAATTTAAGTTATAGTTTACTGCCGGCGAAACTAAAAGGTCAGTACAATGTTCATATACACTTTTCAAATATTGGCCTTGAGAAACTATTTAATACTTTTGTATTTTTGTATTGAGATAATAAAATAGTTTTTACATTTAGTTTTATTTTACAAGAAAGGCACTTTATTTTAACGATTGTATGACATTTGACAAATGTCGAGTAACTTAAAACTAACTTCAGCCCGTGACTAAAGCGCCATAAAGCCACAACTTATCAATGTGTATTTAAAAGGTCACTTAGTGTCATGGAAACATGTACGATAAAGGGCGTTTTAAAGGTGGGAGTAGAAAAAATTAATTTTTTCTTACCTACCTTTTCAGGATTTTTTTATTTGGGTACCTAAATAGACAAAGTTTTTTCTCCTACATTGACGAGCTGTGACTTTATCGCGTTTTAGTCACGGGCTAAAGTTGGCAACAGTGTCTTTATTATAAATTTGTAAAAAGTGAGATTAAATTCGGGTGACAGTTAAAAGAATCTGTTGTCAAATTTTTAAGAAATAATATTGGCTTTGAATTCTGTTTTGCGTTCGTCGTAGATAAAGTATAGTATCCAACTCGTTTATAAACTTCTCTAGAAAATAGCGTTTATAAAACTTGATACTTTTGTATGATTTAAAAATGGCGAATATAAAAATATTAAATAAATAAATTTTAAAATTTTTACAGGACCTGTACAACAAAAATAACTACATAAGAATTATGTTATCCAAATACAAAAAGCCGAATATTTCAAGAAAAAAAATGTTTTTGATGGTAAAATTTGGTTAATTTATGTTAAAAATAAAAATTTAGGTAAAATTAGTAAAATCACTATTTTAGTTGATAAAATGTAAAAATTAGGTGCATTTCTCTTAAAAATAAAAAATTTCTTCAAAAGGATTTTATTCCATTTTACCTTAAGTTATGATTAGCATAGACAAATAGGTAATAAAATCTCTACTTAAAACTCAAGTAGTATGTCGATTTTTGAGACACTTTATATAATAATATTATTAGTCTTACCGGTATGAGTATGCTAGCCGATTTACAAACACCAATAATTAAATATTGATGAACCAAGTCGTCCTCTATTGTATGAGATTTGGACAAGTCCAAAAATAGGTCCAGCATCCATTGAAACTGGGACTTTTCTGTAAATAAGTCCGATAATATTAAAGTTGATCTAACGGCCTCATATAGGACTCTAATGTGTGATAAAACCTACAAGAAGAAAAATAAGTTGTAATTTTTATTTTATTTTTTCTATAGAACTTACCTCTGATTTCATAATTTGGGAATAATAATCCAGCAAAAATCTAAGGCATGAAGTCAAATCCAAGCCATAATCCTCCAACATTCTTTTACGTTTTTGGAAAATTTGCGAGGCAGCATCATTTTTATCACATTCTTCTATTATATTTGTAGCCAGCAAAAAATACCGTATAGAGAGCTGATTGTTGCTATAATTATCGCTTAGTTTCTCGAAAACTTTCGAATCAAAAACGTTTACAAAACTTTGATTTCCTGTGGTTTTAGCTAATTCTGCATACTTTTGTTGCATTCCGTTTTGGATGTTTTTCAGTTTCTTGACACTAAAAAACAATTAAAATAAGCATATTTTGTATTTTAATTTTTTTTTAAATGAGTGAATTCACTTAATTTTTTATTATGTAGTAGGTAAACATTTAACTACAATTTAAAAAAATATTGGGGTAGTTAAATTTTTTCTGACCTATACTTTTTATGGTTTTATTCAAGGCGTTTTGTAATTTTAAACATTTCTGTGAAATCGGAATTTCAATTGAGTTTACCGTTTTCGAGATATTTACAAAAAAAAATCTCCTAATTACGTCACTAGGCTATTGACAACGTTGCCAGCTTTTTCTATGGTTGCCAGTGTGTTTAGTTTAAGATTCTTCCGATAGATGGCGCCAAGTTATAATATTTTAGTTTTAAAACCACTTGATCTATAATTTTAGTTGAGAAGAAGAAGAAGAATTGATTTTTTGACGTTTCTTTTTTTCGGGTTATGTTTTTTTTTAAATATAGATTATTGAAAATCAATGTTATTGTTATGTTATTTGTAATTGATATTAGATAAGTGATTTATTAATAACGGACTCCAAAGCAGAGGAATCTTGTGGAATGGTTGGTTACATTGAACATTGGAGCTTTTAAACAAATAAATTAAGTACCTATAATTATAATCATATTTTGTCGTAAATGCATTTTATTAGTATAATGCCTAGTTCTTTATATTCTTTTAGATATATCTTGGACTAAAATATCAAACAGTAATATGATACCTCGTAATAAGGAAGATAGGTACTTAATGAATTTGGTGACCATCTTTCACTCAACTGACAGTGACAGTATTTGTACATAACCTCTTCGGGTATTTTCTGACATAACCGAATGAAATCAAGACAACTTGACAACAGGGTAATTTTCAACCAATAGAAATCTTAGAATGTTGGTCACATGGCGAGGTTTGTGACGTCATAAAAATTTATATTTTTTGTAAATATCTCGAAAACGGTAAACTCAATTGAAATTCTGATTTCACAGAAATGTTTAATATTACAAAACGCCTTGAATAAAACCATAAAAAGTATGGGTCAAAAATTTAACTACCCCATTGTAACGATCTAAACATTTTTGGCCAAGATATCGCATTTTTAAGAAAAAATGTAAAAAGAGAAAAATCGATGTTTCGTCCAAAAATTTCCTACGGGCGAACAAAGCAAATCTAAGCAAAAAGAAAAAATACGGGTCTAATCAATATCGGTAGAGAAACTGTAAAAAAAATTTCGTAAAAAAATACCTTATTTCTTCATCTGATATCTTCATATTCCTTGATACGTGTATCATTTTGGACTCGAAAGCATTTGACGGATTCGGATACTGCAGCGTGTTTAGTAGCAATGAAGTTATGGCTTTTATTGCCAAACTAGTGCCGTGAACAATGTCGCTTATTTCCTCACTGTCGCAATTTTCTATAGGATTACACACGCTCAACAGGCACATCCAGGTTTCTTCGAATTGCTGACGGGATGTCCAGCCCAACAAAGTGATTCTGAAGGGAAGAAATAAATATGTTTTTGTACAGTAGCATTTTGTTTTGATTTTAGTACGTTTTTATCATTTTAAAATGTGGTATACGCTAAAGAAGTATCGCTAGTAGCGCCACCACTCGGCTGTTATCATCGTAACAAAAGTACAAGTTTTGATAATCAGCTAAAGCCGGAAAATGTTAAAAAATATCGAAAGAAAAACCATGGCTCGATTTGTTGTGTTGTTGGGTGTATTTCGAGAGGAAACCCTGGGTTGAGTTTTTATCGGTTTTCCAATAAACAGTGTTAATCTGAATGAAAAAATAAATTGCATACAGTCCCTGTAAATATAAATTGTATCTATTAGATACAATAAATACACATTTTAGTAATGATTAACGTGAAAAGTGTAAACATTTCAATTCAGTAAAAATCGTCAAACAAATAAGTCGTCTAAATTTAAACAGCATTTAGCATTATTAAAAGCGTTGATTAAGAAAGTCTCCACTCAACGGTAAAATACTATTATATTATGTATTATATATAATATTATGTTGCCATACATTCTTAGGTACATTTTGTGGTTTAAAATGCAGTTGTCGGCGTTTTTTAGAGAACTCAAATATAAAAATGGTTGATTTTAAGGTTATGTTTGTGCAAAAATTATTTTTACTAATTTCTTACAAATGTCCAAACTTAAATATAAATTCTATTAGGTAAAGTTATCATTAGTAAATTCTGCACCAACAAATGTACTTACCGAATTGGATCCTTTGGCAAAACATGAAAATGCAACGATTTAGTTCTTGAATTTTATTTACAATTAAAAACACAATAATTCACCACGATCCCTTAGATAAAATACACACACTAACGTAACTATATAAGCATTTAAACGAACAAATTAAATTTCAAACTAACATAAATATAAATAATGACTATTTATGGATAGTGGGTATTAAACTCAAAATATTTAACCAATTGTTTCAAATAAGTGTATTATACCATCCACCACAAAAAAATGACAATATGTTTATGGAATTTCTAAGTGAATATTTAGAAAATAATATAGAAGTGGACAATTTAATTATGTTAGGAGATTTTAACATAGATTATTTAAAAATTGATTTATTTTATACTAAAAAAATTAAAGATATTTTCTATATTAATGGTTTAAATCAAATAGTACAAACTCCTACACGCATAACACAAACAAGTAAGACTCTAATAGACTATATTGTGACAAACTGCAAAGAACTATCACATGAAGTACATTTGACTCCAAGAATAGGTGATCACTGCATATTGAGTGTAAATTTTAAGGAACTGCAAGATAATAATGAAAATATTACTGAAATTAAACGAAATATGAAAAATTATGATAGTATCCAGCTTCAAAACGAAATACAACTAATAGATTGGAAAAACAACACTTCTAACGTTAACACACTTGCTTGTAGTTTTATATCTTCAATCACCAGTATTATTAATAAAATGTGTCCAGTTACAACTACTACTAAGAAAATTAAATATTATAACAACAAATGGATGAATAATAGAATATTTGAACTTATGAAACAAAGAGATATGCAATATAAAAAAGCAGTTTTTACAAACGTTGAAGAAGATTGGAATGGGTACAAAGTAATTCGAAATAACCTAGTCAAAGAAATAAAGGAAGCCAAAGAAAATTTTTACATTAGTATTATTGACGAGAATAGATTTGATTCGAAAAAAATGTGGACAAATTTAAAAGTATTACTGCCAAACAATAAAAATCAAACAGTAGTTGAGGTAATAGTTGATAATAAAAAAATCTGTGATAAAAAGGAAATGGTAGAAAAACTCAATCACTTTTTTCTAGAGAGTATAGAAGATATAGTAAAAAATATACCAAAAAATCAGAGCCCTGATGAAGTTATAGAAGGAGTTGATTTTGTTGCACCATTTTCTAATTTTAATACTATAACAATGCAAGCATTAAAGAAAATTTTAAAAGGATTAAAAAACACTTCTGATGTTAACGATGGAATAACCTCAAAAATATTAAAAGATGTTTGTTTAGTAGGAGCAAACCGACTTCTGGACATTATAAATACGTCACTACAGGAAGGAGAATTTCCCAATGATTGGAAAACATCATGTATAATACCAGTCCCAAAAGTTGCAGGTACAAATCTTCCAGAAGAGCTTAGACCCATAAATATGGTACCTCCATATGAAAAAGTGTTGGAGTTATGTGTTAAAGAGCAAATTACCAAATATTGTGAAGAAAATAATGTTATTGTACAACATCAGTCGGGTTTTAGGAAAAACCACTCGTGTGAGGCTGTGATAATAAACAACTGTGATAACTGGTTAAAAATCTTGGACAAAGGTAAAATAATTATATGTGTTTTTTTAGACTTTAAACGTGCGTTTGAAACAATTGACCGTACACTGAGAAAAATGTATGTAATTTTACACAACTTTCACACTAACTAAAGTTGTAAAAAATTACAAATTTTTGGTAAAAGTACATATTTTTGTGTTTTTAAGAAGATATATGTGTGAAATTAGATAAAAAATGTAAATTTACATATTCTTATAAAAGTACATAACATATAATGTGAATTTTATAAAATTTTAAATGTACTATGTAAAATTTACATTTAAAAGTAAATTCTACATAAAAATATTAAATATTACATTATTATAGGTAACCTTTACACATTTCATGTAAATATCAACCAATAGGATTTGAGCATTAAGTCACGCGATGCGGCACACGCGTATGTAAACGAAACGAACATTTTGTTGGCCGAGTTAGGACGCGTTGTGTAGTGTTTATAGTGGTTTTTTCGTATTATTTGGTAAGTATATTAATTATAAATAAGGAGCATAAAAGAAGAAACTAGGATGCCATCAATAAAATGAGATTTTCCCATTATTAATTGATATATTTTACTTAATTTTATTTAAAGAATTGCCTATTCATAAGTTATACTATTTTATTTAAATAAGTTTAATTCCAATACGATAGTATGTTAAACATCTATCCAGTAAAAACAAAATATTTGATGTCAAGTGGTAAAAATGCACCTGTTTACAAATTAATATCTAGTTTAAGCAATAATTTTAGTTTAAAGAAATATTTTATTATAGGCTAATTTTACTTTTTTTTTCAGATCCAAATATTTTTTATTGAATAAATATTAGTTATTAGAACAAATAATAATAGGTTAGATTTTAGATTAAATAGGTAGGTAATATTATTAAAATAAATCCTAATTTCTATTAATTTATATATATATTTATATATATTTGTATTTAAAAAATGTTTATTTATTATCGTTTTAAATATACAATTATTGTTAACTTACAATTTTATTTTATTTCGAAATAGATGTCCCTAAAAATTCTACCAATTTAAAAGTTATCTTTTAAAGTGTAGTATTTAAACTTAAAAAATTGCCTAAACCGTATAATAATCATACTATTTTTAACTTATTTATATTATTTAAAAATAAAAATGTACTACGCTTAAAAAGTTTGCTTCTAAATTAAAATTGTCTATTTTTTGTGTATATATACAGTTTTATTTTATTTTAAATATCTGTATAAAGGTATTTTGAAAAAAATAAAACTGCAATATTACAAAATTTTGGGTTTATTTAAATTTATTTAATTGCAAAAGTTAAATAAACCCAATATTTTGTAGTATGATTCTAAAGAATACAATTACATAATTTTGAAAAAATTACATATTACATGCATATAAGTAAAATACATTATATATGTATAACATTTACACAAACGTGTAAATATAAATTACATCTGTCATGTACATTTTAAACAATTATGAATTATTTACAAATTTTGTGTAAACATAAATCACATATTTTGTGTAAAAAAACATAGATATGTTTAAGTTACACAATCTATGTAATTTCACATCAGTTTACGAAGCTAACAAATAACCAACGACCAGTTATGTGAAAATTTTTCTCTGTGTAATATGTTAATTAAAAAACTGAATAAAATTGGTATCTGTGATAATATTTTAAAATGGTTTCAATCATACTTAAATAATAGGACACAAGTAGTAAAAATTGGTAATGTAGTGTCTAGTAAACTAGAAAGTAAATATGGTGTCCCACAGGGAACAGTTTTAGGGCCTCTATTATTTATATTATATATAAATGATGTTGTAAAATGTGTTAAAAAATCTAAAATTTCAATATTTGCAGATGACACAATGTTATATATTTCGGGTGATAACTTAGATGAGTTGATTGATGTAATGAATGCTGATCTTAGTAATATTTTTAGTTGGCTTTGTAGTAATAATATGTGTTTAAATGTTAATAAATCTAAATACATGATTTTGGGATCTAGTCATAAATCAAGTAACTTAAACATAAATAACAAAAAACTTGTAATTAATGGTTCTGAGCTACAGGGAGTGGATAGCTTTAGATATCTAGGTGTAATGTTAGATAAAAATTTAAATTTTAAACCGCATAGAGATTATGTTAAGAATAAAGTATCTAAAAAAATTTATTTTTTGCGTAGGATAAGTAATAGTTTGTCAAGGTATGTGAAATTATTGTTATACAAATCCATAATTGCCCCCCATTTTAACTTTTGTTCGTGCATTATGTTTGAAATGAATCAAAATGAAAATAATAAGCTACAAAAGTTGCAAAATAAGGCAATGAGGATAATCCTGAAATGTAATCGTTATACCCCTATCAAACTTATGTTGGATACTTTAAGTTTAATGAACGTAAAACAATCTATTGCGTTTAATTCTATGTTATTTATTTTTAAAGTAAAAATTGGAAATTTACCAAAGTTTTTAAGTAATAGATTGATTAGGGTAGATAGTATTCATGATCATGGAACGAGAAGTGCGAGTGATTTTTATGTAGAAAATTTTACTCGAGTGCAGACTACCAAAAATGTATTTGTTAATGGCCTAAAAATGTTCAATAATTTGCCAAGTGATATTAAAAAATGTGATAATTTAAATAGATTTAAGTTACTATTAAAGATTTACATACACAGTAATATTTATTGATTATTTGTAATATTCTATTGTTGTATACTTAATAGCTTTTTGCTAAATAAAGATTATTTATTATTATTTATCAATGATATAAAGAATAATCAATCGAAATCGAGTACTAGTTTTTTAGTTTTTTCCTTGCAAAAGAACTACCTATTTATTTAAAAATGATGTACAGTTCGTATGCTTTAAATGTCCACCAGATGGCGCGCGCGTTGCGAAAACCCGATACTTCTTTAGCGTATATGATTAAACATTAAAAATGTTACCTAAAAATATATTCCTCCAAAATGTCAATCTCTTGCAGCAACTCAATAGGAAGAGGAGGGACTTGGGTAAAAAAGGTGCCAGACATTTTTGGTTCCCAACCTGTTTTCCAAACTTTAGTGGGAATGAGAACATACGAATTCACCACAGACATTCTGGACAACGAAACCACAACACTCCTGACGTTACTTAACAAAAATTTCGGAATATTAGGAACGGTGTTTTTAATTTTATCCAACCAACTAACCAGAACGTACAACTGGTGGCAAGCCTGGCCTGCTGAGCTGGTCTCGATGTTTTCCAGTGAGATAGTCAAAGAATATTTCGGTATGGAGGGTAGAGGTTCTTCGTTTAGCAGCAAAAAGTTAACCAGCTTGTATAGGCTGTTAACAGCGGAACTTAACCACGATATGTGGGAATCCGAAGCCAAAATTCCACACAAACGATTTTCCTTGAAAATCAACTCGCTACAATGCAAAGCCTTGTCTATAAGACTCACATTCAAGCAAGTATTTTGGTTACCAATCAAAAAATTTATCGATTCCAACAATATAACCCCAAACTTAATAATATCCTCGAAATTGTTGTCGGGGATTTTCAACGTTTTAAAGTCTGGCAATGAGGTTATGTAGCTTGACAGGGAGGGGGTTAAGGAATGAAGGAGGTCGAAAAAATCTTCGTTTTTGAAGAGTTGGGTCATCTGGCTGGAATATGTAACTTCCGAAGAGGTGACGGCTCTGTCGGCAGGGTTGTAAACCTAAAGAAACAAAAATAACTATAAATTAAACAAGAATATTTTATGTCAAAATATATGGCACGCCGTTTTAGCATTTATTAGATAAAAGTTTAGCACTTAAATTATGTTTTAACAGAAATTTATAAAGTTTAATTTTTTTAAACTCAAAACAATTGATAGTCAAAACATACTTTAAATATAAAATGCAACAGTAAAAATGTATGTTTAAAAATATTGATTTTTAAAAGTTTTGGTTGTAATATGTTATTCTACAAAATTATTGGTTTAAATTTTTAAAGAGTCATTTAAATGATAGTTGATAAATTTTTAATACAAAAATTCTCACATTACATTAAATGTAAGTTTTAAATTTTGAAGTAGGTAGTAATTTTTGGATTAAAAATTTATCGACTATCATTTAAATGACTCTTTACAAATTTAAACCAAAATTTTTTATTTTTAACAATTTTAAAGTGATATATTTTTAAGAAAAAATTTATAACTTGACATTTAAATGTAAGTCGATTAATTGTCGAATTAACTTAGTACAATAGGCACTAAAAATGTTGTTGTTCTATTATTAAATTTATGTAATAAAGAAACATTTGATTACGATAATTTGTAAAACGCGTCAAATATTTATGAAGCAAGCACGATTTGGCAACACTGCGGATCAAACTGGCTGCATCGTGGCTCCGATCCCAGACTCTTGTGCCTTCTACTAGAGCTACGTTTACACTTTGTAGTTTAATTTACATTTAAATGTAAAGTTATAAATTTTGTCTTAAAAATGTATCAAGTTAAAATTGTTAAAAATAAAAGTTATTGGTTTAAATTTTTAAAGAGTCATAGTGATAGTTGATAAATTTTTAATGCAAAAATTACCACCTTAAAATTTAAAACTAACATTTAAATGTAATATTCAAATTTTTGTATTGAAAATTTATCGACTATCATTTAAATGACTTTTTACAAATTCAAAACAATAATTTTGAAGAATAAAATATTAAAATTTAATTTTTTAAAAATTAATATTTTTAAACTTAAACTTTTACAGTTGCATTTTATATTTAAAATATTTTTTGATTATCAATAGTTTTGAGTTTACAAAAATTTTACTTTTTAAACTATTTTGGTAGAAAATGTTTTATATGTATTTTTATTTTAAATGGCTTGATACTATTTTTAAATACTAAAAAATTTAACTTTACAAAATAAATCTCAATAATTTTATAAAATATTTATTTAAGTTAACAAAATGCCACCCAAATAAATTATACTTGGGAAATTATTTTTATTAAAAAATGATAGTTGGAAATTTTTGCAAAAATTAATAGAAAATAATATTGTTTAATACAGAAGGGTAAGTCCACGTCAGATCAAACAGTGTTGTTCACCACACCGTCTCAGATTTTTCTCAAATGTTGTGTAGATGATATATAGACTAGGATTACATTAAATCTTAATTTTGAAGGTTCTACGATAACTAATTACCGAGATATTAAATATTTTAATTTTAAAAATTTTAGCAAGATGCGATTTTTGTTTTCTTATTTTCTTAAATAACTCCTTACATGCACAAGTTATTTAAGTGAAAGTTTGTTTCCAGGGGTAACTTTTTAAGCTAATTTATAAAAAATAATTAAAAATTGTATTTTTTCCATTGTTTTAGCAAGAGCAATTGCAATGTTGCATTTGCTTGAAAAAATTCAAAAAAAAATTTCGGCATGTTTGATCAGGAGCACATGTTTGAAATTTTTTATTTGTTATTAAGTTGGTACACTACTACTTTTAGAAAAAAAAATCATATTGGCTTTCTAACTAGGAGCTGAGAAAAAAATTAATTAAAAACTTTCATGGGACTAAAACCGCGGGCGTTTTTTTTCATATCCAATAGCTTTATTATACATACAACATTAACTCAAATCATAAAAAAATAAATTAATGTAAACATTTTCTATTTTTAAGAAACCATAATATATTATAAAACAACATAATAGAAATATAACAAACATAATAGAAATATAACACAACTAAAGGAAAAAGTTATTTTGCAGCTGATTTGAACTTATTAAATAAAAGAGTAATACTTTTACTCATATCGCTATCAAGAACATATTGTCGTCCAGTGCTACCTTTCACTGAAGGTGCTGGTATCACACATAACACGTGCTCAAAAGGAACGAAGCAACTATCTTCTCTAGATGGCCAGGATAACACATTAGTGTCTTTATGTCTTTGCATAAAATTTATAAGCAAGTCTGTTTCATCAAAATGTCTTTCTTTAATACAGCCAATGAACCAGTTGTCATCGTATACTGCAGCTACATAAACTCCCGGTTGCAATTCGTCGATATCTATATTCTTTTCATGTTTTTTTCTGACAGTAAGACTAACTTTAAATCCTGAATTTTCATCATCTGACGACAATCGATACAGAATCAATTCAGAATTATTTATTGGAACAAACCTGTGATAACTGCGAGTTCCAGGCACTGTTTTCGCGCTCTGAAAACGAGCTTCCAAGCTTTTGGCGTGTTGCTGAACATCAGCATGGGACACAAAGAAAAACTTTATGTTATGTATGTTACAATTAGCCCAGTTAAATAAATCAAGAGGAGTAAGAATGTGGTTGTCCAGTGTGGCCTGCAAACTTGCACGAGCTGCAAGTCTTTTTACCGTGCCGCCAATTCCATCACATGGACTTTTTCCATGTGAAGTGGCAAAGAAGTTCCATTCAGCAGGGACGTTGAAATCTTTTTTATGTAAGCATAAATTAATGAAGTTTTTATAGTTTTTATATTGTGCACTTGAACCGTCACTAAAATAATGAATGTATTGTAAATCTGGTAATTCTTCTTTAATATGTTGTATAATTACTTTAAGAAAGTAATGAACTGTGGAGGTAATGTGTTCACGTTCATCACTAATAACACACATACTAAAGCATTTTAAATCTGTCTGGTTTTTACTCCTGAAGTAAATTACGAATGGGTGAAGTGTGGCTTGTGTCGTATCCCAATGGAAACCTTGAATGGCATCTTGGCAAACAAAAGAATAATTTTCTGCAAAGTCTAGTAAAACGATTACTTCTGTTTCAGCTGGAATATTTTCTTTAAGATTTCTTAAGTAGGATGCTTGTGATTTTGCAGTAAAATGATGTGTTGTTGCTTGATCTGCTGCCTTAGACAAGTCTTTCACAAAATCTTCAATAGTTGATGTCATATTCACTAGTGTTGATTGTCCTTTGTGGACCCACTGCTTATAGGCAATATTGTCATCAGTTTCCAAATCATTTTCACTAAATATATCCAGCATAAGCTGCTCCAAAGCTTCAGACCCTGGGCAATTCTCACATCTGTGAAGCATACAATTTCTTGAGTCCACAGAACATACTATAGTGGAGAGGATATTTTTGTATTCAATTTTCTTGGGTAATGCTGCTGTCAGTAGCTTCAAGTTTTGGTGAGTCTCGCAAACACATACTGAATGAACTCCTCGGGCACTGACTGTAACGCACCAAGGTGGTCGTAAAGAAGAGAATTTTGACAAACCGATTTTTAGCTGTGGATATCTTTCTTGAAAAGCCAAATGCAGTTCCTTTAAATTTACAAAAAGCAGTCGCTTTTGCATGTGAGTTCTTTTACCAGTTTCCGAATCTCTGACTGACACAAATTCTTTCTTTCCAGGGCACATTCTGGAAAATTCATCATCTTCATAGAATTGCCTTACTTTTTTAGATACCTCATTGGAAATTGATTTTCCTTTCAGCTTTTCTGGTTCTGCCAAAATACCGTAATCCTTTTTAAGTTTTCTAGCCTTATTGACCATGTATGTTGAGACACCAAATTCATTAGCGGTCTTCTGAATGCTCCAGCTACTCGGTACAAGAGTTAGTAATTTTAGAACTTCTTGTCCACAAGAAATTTTACATTTTTCTTTTAAGAGTTCAATCAGACAGTTTAAATCTTCACAGCTGGTACACTGCTTTTCGTTGGTTTGAGCCAGAGTCTCTAGAGGAACATTTAGCGATGTTGAAAATTTCTCCTGCAACAAAGAAATTGCCTCTGCTGATTTTCTTTTTGCATAACTTAGTCGTTGTTTTTTATTTACACCATGCAACTTGACAGGTGTGCATCCAAGATTTGTGATACTTTGATTCAAAGCTTCAGTGCCATCTGAATCAAAAAATGCCTCTGGTTTCCTTTCATTCTCAATATCCTCTTTAGAAATAGTCTCATTGTTCAAAGCTTCAGTTTCTGCCATCCGAGTTCGACACTGAGGACATAACTTTTGCCCTGGTTTAAGATTAGTGTGTTTTTTTGCAAATTCCAATGACACAGATCTCAAACTTTTCTTAATGCCTCTAGTATGTGACTGAAATGGATCACAACAGTATCTTTGAAGTTGCTCATATGTCGAAAGCAACATTTTTTCATGGTGAATACAAATGGTTGTATTATTATCAAGTTGTGTTCTTGAAATTTCAGACCTAAGTGCAATGATTTCTTTTTGCTCCTCTGTAAAATTATTCCATTCAAAAAATCCAGTTTGTCGTGAATAACTGGTTACGTGACATTCAGTCTGCAATATGTCACCAAATATGCAATTTGACAGTGTATATGACATTGTTATATTGCTTGTTAGTACCAAAGTTTTATTATCGCACTAAAGAATTAATGATGGATCAACGCAACACTATTTTGTTTAATGTTATTGTTGGTTTGTTGATATTTTTTATTTTGTTTATATTATTTTTACTTAATTTTCAGTATTTATATTTACGATATTTGAACAAGTAATTATTGTTAATATTATATAATAGTGATAAAAATAATAATAATTATAATACACCGGCGGCGCGCCGTACAATAATGAAAATGTCATTATTATTGTACGGCGGAGTTGAAATGAATAAAATGGCAATCTGTCATTTGAACCTTATCTAAAAAAAATTCAGTCCTTTGTCAAGGAGAGTTGTCAAAGTTTTCTTGGCCTTGAAATAAAAACTAAACTTAAGTTTTTTGTCACATGAAAGTACAATAATTTTTTTCTCAGCTATTAGGTGGAAAGCCAAGATGATTTTTTTTCTGTAAGTAGTGGTATACCATCTCAACAACTCATAAAAATTTAAAACGTGTGATCCTGATCAAACATGCCGAAAAAAAAATTAATATTTTTTTTTAACAAATGCGACATTGCAATTTCTTATGCAAAAACAATAGAAAATACACAAATTCTGATTAATTTTTTAAAATCAGCTTTAAAAGTTACCTCTAGAAACAAACTGTCACTTAAATAACTTGGGCAGGTGGGGAGTTATTTAAGAAAATAAAAAAAACATAAATCACATCTTGCTGAAATGTTTAAAATTCCAATAATTAATTTATCGGTAATTAATTATCAAAGAACCTTCAAAATTGAGATTTGTGGTTATCCTAGCCTATGTATCATCTGCACAAAATTTGAGCAAAATCTGAGTCGGTGTGGTGAACTTTTCTTATTATTGTGTTTGATTTGACGTGGACTGACCCAGAAGTGAACTGTTGGTTAGTACATTTTGTCTTTCAATACATGATAGTTGAAAATATTATAAATTTATAAATGTAAACCTAAAGTTTTTAGTTGGGAAAATTTTAAACCAATAAAATTTGAAATTAAAAAATTATTTAATAAATGTTAAAACGGCGTGCCATAAAGATACAGGGTGTTATGTATGTGTATGTAATACATTCAAATACTGAATACCTTTTGACATAAAACACATTAAATTTTGTGCTCGCCAAAGAAATGCAATTCGTTTTATAAACTTCTCTAGACAATATACTATTATCTACTTCTATACTTAATACATCATTTAATAAGGAAAAAGTGAGGTTAAACCCGCTTGACAGATAAAATAAAATTGACCTTAAGTTCTGAAAAAATATAAGTACTCACTTGGTGTGGTTTTGGCAGTTTGCTTCCAATATCTCTCACATCCTTAAGCAAAGAATCCACACTAGCTTTTAATATATCAGGATCATCCTCCAACTTCTTACCCCTAATATCCCTAACGGCAAGTCGTATACAATCCTTGATGCATTTTTTATTAAACTCTTTGCTCGACATGAAATTATATATCTCCGAATATTCCAAATCTTTCAACAACTCGGCAGTTTCCTTACTTAACTGAGTCTCCCCGTATCTACCCCGTATTTGCGACAGATACCAGTTTTTGTTGACTTCCAACGTTTTTATTTCCTCAGGGTTAACCGAAAGCCTTTGCTCCAACTCTATGGGGGTTAAATCGTGGAATTGATTTGATAGTTTGTTTAGAAGACTCACTAAACTTTCATGCCTAAAAATCGACGATAAAAAATAAAAATACTAAAATAAAAATATACTTTTTTGTCAGCTCTTTAGTTATTAAAGTGTTCCTAATTTCAAGCAGTTTTTCTTTTGGCAGTTGATTATTCACTTCCTCTGGAAACATTGTTAAAAGTAGATCAATGTTTCTGCTTGCAATATGGGCCACATTTCTTGAAATAGTAACTTCTTTATTTGTCAGAAATTTAGTTAAGAGTAGATGCAGAACGTTTCCACATTGTGAAGAATGTGCGTTACTAACACATTTTAGAAGAGTAGTAATAAAAATTGGCTAAAATATATAAAAAAAAAGTTAAATAATTTTTTTTAATTAAGATTTATAAGTACTTCATCTATTTGTCCACATTCTTTTTCCACTGATTTTATAAACAAATTACTGGTGAAAGGGTTACGATTCAGGGCGTATATGAATTCGGTTACAGGGCTTTCATTGTATAATTTTATTATAAACTTTATATTTTTCGTCAATATCCAGTTTAGTATGTCAATTTCAGACAAGTTTTCTATCTAAAAATACAAAAAATTACACAGGTGTACAAAATTTAACTAACATTCTATTTGTTAAAAGGTCTTATGAAATGAGTTCTTTATGCTATTTTATCTATTTTGCAAATATTCTAAAAAAAATTAATTTTACACCTTAAATTTAATTTGGTCGAATTCTACTTTAGATAGTTGGTATCACAGTCATTGGTTTGACAGTTAATGTCAAAATCGATTCGTCATGCCGTCCTTAATTTACTTATTTACAATAAGCGGCAGTTAATGTTAAAGAAGAAAAAAAGATTTTCTTTGGTGTTAAACAAAATTTATTGCCAGAAAAGTCTCGTAAGTACTAGAAAAATCATAAAAATATTATAACCAATATGCAAAATATTATGCTGTTTAAAGTATAGCCAACCTATAAAATCAAAATTTTGGGTGGGATAAAGTATCTCATTACAGCACCGAAACCGGTGTTATAATGAAGTCATTATGAACGCAAAATAGATAAATGTTTTTTTAATTATAATTAGACCTGTGTAACTTACCAAAAAATCACAGAAAACAATCACAGCACCGGTTTTGGTAATTTCGGAATTTAAAGAGATATTTTTGTTGACTTCGTCGTTTTTAAGAACTTTCGACCAAAAATCAACGTTTTTATAGTTCCACAGCGTCAAAAGATAGCACCACTTAAAAGTTAAAATTGGGTAAAACACAGATAATTTCAAAAATATATTGTTTATTTTTTCCAATTGATTTAAACCATCCTCGCATGGTATATCCTGGTTTATTATTGAGATCGCCACATTAGTTATCTTGCAATGACTTCCTAAAATATATATGGTAGTTAGTCACAAGAGTGCCCTCAATTTTATCCTTAAGTTTGATTTATAGATTGCCTTCCTTCCTTCCTCCCGTAGAAGATGAACAATGCGGCTTTTGTATTTTTCATCTTTTACGGGAGGAAGGAAGGCAATCTATAAATCAGTCTTTAACCTTACCTGACTGAAAAATATGCAAGCAATATATCAAAAATACGGAAAATTGCTTGATCAAAAAATCGTTTTTGTCGTTTTTGGCGATATGTATGCATTCTTCCGATATAAGGTGTATCACGCGAAAAACAAACTTGACAAAAATGACTTCAGGCGATAATTTTTGAAAAACGCTTTCGCTGTTAACCACGTGCAGAGGATCGACTGTGGTTACGACATTTTCAAAAATGCTAAACGGTGAAAAATTCGCTTTCAGATTAGATATTTTCGATATCAGCACTTCTTCTTTTAAAGGGGACAAGATTAGAAGTAAGATGATTATTTTTGATAACCAACGAGATTTTCCATCCTAAAATTATATATTTTTAAATATATCGTGTTGCCCACAATCCACACAACAAGGTCTGTTCTATCTCGTACTAAAAATACAAAAAATCACTGCAACACTGCACAGTTTAACGGCGGCCATTTTTGTGGTTTACAATTTTTGTGCTTTGGGTTTGTGCTCTGTTTATACAGATTAATAATCGTTTTAAACGTTGTGTTTCTCATAGTAAGCCTTAAAAGTAGGCCTTAAAGTGCTAAGAACAACATTTTACTCCTCTATTGTAAAAAATAAACTTTATTCTATCAGGGCTGTCATAAAACTGTCAAATGTCAATTTTAAGGTTAAATTATAACCCACAAATAAACCTTCAAATTGTCATTTGGCAGCCCTGATAGAATAAGGTATATTTATTATAAAAGAGGAGTAAAATGGTTGTCCTTAGCACTTAAAGGCCTTATTTGAGGCTTACAAGTGCCTCTGTAAGAAACACAACGTTTAAAACAATTATTAAACAGCACAAACCCAAAGCACAAGAATTGCAAACAACAAAAATGGCCGCCGTTAAACTCTGTGCAGTGTTGCAGTGATTTTTAGTATTTTTAGCATGAGATAGAACAGATTGTGGTGTTGCCATTATTATTTGGACTTACTATGGGCGGTTCTTCATAGAGCATCAAAATAAAACCATCGACAGGTTGAAAAACATTCGTATTCAACGAAAAAACCAACTTTCTTAAGCTACTAAAGCTTCCGGGGCAATCTAGCCGCAACCTGTTACTTTTCAACATAGCAAATGCAGCGTTGCCGATCTGCTCGGACCAACGTTGCCACTTGTCCGGGTCGTCCGAGCAATATCGACTGTCTTCCAGTATGAGAACCAAAAGATCCACAACTTCCTTGTATTCTATTAACTTTAACAGGTTGGATAGGACGACTTCTCGTGCTGTTTCCAAGTCTTTCATGTCCGCGGTATTGGATTTGTTGCGGGTCAAAAATATGTCTTCTACTATCGGTTGTAAGGCCGGTACGCAGTGCGTTAGAGGTGGTTGACCGCTGGCCAAGAGACCGTTACAAAGTTGTATGATTTTTGGAATTCCTATTATGCTTTTAGAGTGCTGCTTTCCGTAGGAAAGTTGAACGAGGAATTGGAAAATGTTGGGTATCAACTCAGCTGATAATCTATGAAATATATCAATAAGCATTATTTTATTATATTAAGTTATGTTGGTATTATGCCCCACATCAAAAAGTCCCACTTTGACATTTGAATAAGGAATCTGGTTGCCTAATTTAATTTATTATAATGTTATACGCTAAAGAAGTTTCGGGTACGTTATTTGTGTTTTTCGTTGCAAGGAAAAAACTAAAAAACTGGTTTAGTACTCGATTTCGATTGATTATTCCTTATATCATTGATTAAGAAACTCAACGCTTAAATGCTTATATAGTTACGTTAGTGTGAGTATTTTATCTAAGGGATCATGGTGAATTATTGCGTTTTTAATTGTAAATAAAATTTAAGAACTAAATCGTTGCATTTTCATGTTTTGCCAAAGGATCCAATTCGTTAAGTACATTTGTGGGTGCAGAATTAACTAATGATAACTTTACCTGATATAATTTATATTTAAGTTAGGACATTTTTAAGAAATTAGTAAAAAATAATTTTTGCACAAACATAACCTTAAAATCAACCATTTTTATGTTTGAGTTCTCTAAAAAACGCCGACAACTGCATTTTAAACAACAAAATATACCTACGAATTCATGGCAACATAATATTATATATAATACATAAAATAATGGTATTTTACCGTTGAGTGAAGACTTTCTTAATCAACGCTTTTAATAATGCTAAATGCTGTTTAAATTTAGACGACTTATTTGTTTGACGATTTTTACTGAATAGAAATGTTTACACTTTTCACGTTAATCACTACTAAAATGTGTATTTATCTAATAGGTACAATTTATATTTACAGGGACTGTATGAAATTAATTTCTTCATTCGGATTAACGCTGTTTATTGGAAAACCGGTAAAAACTCAACCCAGGATTTCCTCTCGAAATACACCCAACAACACAACAAATCGAGCCACGGTTTTTTTTCGTTATTTTTTAACTTTATTCTCAAAAACACTCGTTTGTAACATAAGCTGATTATTAAAAGTTATACTTTTGCTTCGATGATAACAACCGAGTGGTGGCGCTACTAACGATACTTCTTTAGCGTATTTGACTTATTAAATGTCAAAGTGGGACTTTTTGCTGTGTATCATGGTACATACGGTATTTGATCTTCTTCAATGTACTTGAACTGTTTCAAAACAAAACCGATAAAAACTTGTTCTGAATCCAACAAACAATAATTAACTCTTAGCTGAACCAATTGACTTAATAGTTGTAATACTTGACACTGCAGCTTCACGTCGCTAGTTATGGTGTATTGCTGAAAAAATAGTTATGATACCAAAACCCACGTAAATCTGAACTTTATACCTTTAAGGATTTGATCACCATAGGCTCAAAAATCCTGATGTAATTCGCTAAAGTTTTATCGCTGCTTCTATTAACTAAGCTGGTTTGTTTTTTAACGTCTTTTCTGTGTAAATAACCCATCAACGTGTTGTCGCCGTCATCGATTTTGTTCAGGGTGTTTAGGTTTATGCACCACGAGATTTCGTTGTATGGTTTTTGGGCCAAATTATGGTAAAACCCGTTATGTTCATGCTCAACAGTGTCCTATATAAATTAGCGTTGAAACACAATGGTATATTTGGGTGAATATCACGAAATGTCCCCCGTGATATTTAATAAAACTAAACGAGTTTGACCTACACTTTTATTGTGTTTTGATTTTTCATAATTAAGTAGATATTACAGCTCAGGTTCCAGATATTTAACCGCAATTAATTATTTTTTACAATGTTTTAAGAGTCTAAAACCTATCCTCCGTGACTGTTACTCTTTCTAGGTTAACCTATATGTTTTCAAATATATGAGGTAGTAAAAGCATACTAAAAATATCAGTTCACCAAGTAAATTAAACACATCCAAAGCAATCGAATAAAATATAAAATGATATTACAAATTAAATAAAATAATTTTTATAACCATTTATATAGGTGTTACAAAAATTGATTCTATCCTCCGTGAATCTGTTTTTGGTTTAAATTTTATGCAACGGATTGCGCTTTAATCATTTTAAATAAGCAAAAACCTCTGTTTACGACATTATAGATGCATGTGATTCCTCAGTTAGAATTTATATGCAGATGAGAGTGTTGCTGTTTTATAATTCAAAAGTTTATTAAGTATTTAAAAACCTATCCACCGTGAAGTGTGAGTAAGTAGATTTTTTTATAAATATTTTATGTATGTACAATTGTATTTTTTAAAAATATTAAGGTGTCAAAAGATACAATAAGTTATTTCAAATATACAAAGGGATGTTTGAAAAAAAACATACTAAATCCTAACCTCCGTGAAGATCTAATATTCAAAATGTATGATTTCTTAAAATTCTTGCATTAGTGCAGAACCACTTATGTTATGTTATTACTAGACCTGGTGGCTTCCCAAAAACCCCATTCTAGACTAACAGTGAAACAACCAAAAATAAAAAATAATCATTTTCACTTGGGGGACATCTCAATATATTCACCCATTTGTGTAAATAAAATCTTACCTGATTCATTTTGCTGTGCAATATTTCCGATATATTTGCCGTCAAGTTGGTACCAAACATGCACTTTAGCATTTGCTGTACGCTGGTTACAGTGGACGTAGGATCCAGCAAAAATGTGGACATCAGATAATTCAATAACTCCTGGGAAACCCTGCCAAATTCAGTCAGAGTACCGACCTCCATTAAAACGGAAACGCTCTTCAAGGACTTCCTCATGACCTCCAAAAACCTCTCGCAAGTGTCAGAACTCAAAGTGACTTTATAGTTCGTGTAGCTACTTTTGAGTACCTCGTATATCTTAAGGTAGTGCGGCAGATGCGCAAACGCAGCTATAACGTTTAGTCTCCCCGATTTCTCCACCTTATCATCCTTTTCCGACAACAAAATCATTTTCTTATCCAAATCGCTTTTCCTCCTTTTGATTGGCGACAAGTTGCTGGCCGATGGCAAACTTGGCAACACCGTTTTAGACGTCGCAACCGAAGGATGCAAGTCATTGATGACGTGATGGAATATGTTTAGCAACTTAATCACGTGAGAGAAGTATAACTCGCATTTTTCTGTCACGTAGTCATGTTCGAACATGTCCCAAAGACGATTCGAGTTTTCCAGGTCTGGGATCGGCCGAACTATGCACACAGATTGACCTGTGACAATAGTTTTAGCACAAACAATAATAATTTGAAAACTATTTACCTGCAAAAAGATTAGAAGCAAGCTCCAACATGTTTATTTGACAATTTATGTCGTAAACCATCACTGACGTGTTCAGAAAACTTATGCACAAGTCTAACAAGTCTGAACTAGTCCTGAGATCTTCATCAGTTCTGTTGGATAGAATCCAAGCGTTTTTATAAACTGTGCTTGGATATTTATTTGACAGAAGGCATAGAGACTCAAAACAACCCATCTAAAATATACCTCATAGATGGCGCTTTATTCTTAAAACTTACTCACCATTAAATGTTTTGATGTAGAGCTCAATAAAAATTTGTACAGTTGGTTAACAATTAAAGATAACGTGTATTCCTCACTATCAGGACATTTATCCAAAATTTTATCAAAGGGAAAAGGCATTGCCTTTATAAAATGTTTCTTATTTAAGTTTAGAACATCCTCAACATCATTTAGGTTTGCCAAGTAATGATTCTTGTATTGCATTGCTTTTCTCGTTATAATATTTTCGTTTGTTTGGAAATGTTCGTTATACAAATAAGGAATAATACTAAAAAATATGATATTATTAAAAAAAAGGTGCATTTTAATGAATGATTTTACTCTATGATGGCATTTGCCGCTGATTTTCTAACTCTTTGATCATTATCAGCTAACATCTCAAATAAAACATTGTGGATTATTTTGTTTTGAAAGGTTGGGTTACACTGTACATAGTGGATTGTTATGTAAGGCAGTTTTGATACTAATTCACATAAAGCAACCTAAAATTGTTAGATATTAGATGTTGGATTAAAATTTTTAGATACATCATTAAATATAAAAACACAAACAAATAAGTGGAAATAACTTGAAAATTATGTTATAAGTTATATAAAAGATTATAAAAAAAAGTTTATCCGAAATCGGCAGTAAAGTAGTCAACAATCGGCAGTAAAGTAGAACTTTACTGCCGATTTAATAAGAGTATTGTATGCAACCCATTATACATTTTAAGATGTGTCTACTGCTCCTCAGCAGTAACTAAATAATATTTAAAAAAAGCACTGTCGCGGAGGTCGATTGGACCCTTTCATAAAATGTTGTTTAAGAGAAATAATAAGTTATTTTTATTAATTAGATTAAAAAATCGCCGCGGCGGGCAAATATATAATAACCGTCTCAACAAACAGTATACGTAGACACTTCCTACATTCAAATGACATTTAATTTGATCATCAAATGACACTTGATTGATCATCAATATTAGTATTATTAAATGTGATTTCGGATAAAATCACATTCGTGATAAAAAAATACTACCTTGATTAAAATAAAACAAAAATATTATACAAAATCATTTTTCCCAAAAAAGGTTGGTGTTGATTTTTTTTTCAATTAAAATAATGTTAAGTTGTTGATTGCTACTTTTTTTCAAATGTGTATATTTTCCAAAAAAAAATCAATTTTTTCCAAAAAGGCCTGGAAAAAGAACGAAAAAAAAACTGGTTTTCCCCCATTTTTTCGACACTTTAAAACCCTACATAAAAACCAAAAAATTATAAACAAAAAAATATCGAAAAATTAAAAAACTAATAATTAAAAAGCCTTACCTTAACAAGCCAATAAGGATTTTTTGCTAAAGTTGGAATTACCCTTAAAATTGGTAATACTGTTTTGGCATCTTTAGATTCCAGTATTTGAGGTAAAACTGTTGATAAACTTATTATGGTCTGTCTACTGCAATTTGCAGATTCATCTTCCAAACCCTAAATAAAAAAAACCGTAAAACTTTGATATACTATAAATCAATTAATAACTTACTTTGGTCAGCATTTGCACCATTTTCTCCATATAAAATATACTCTTATTTTCAACAATAATATTTGCATTTATCCATTCCATATAGTTTCCATTACTCTCAACAATAACAGTCTTAACAAAATTACTTATAATAGTTCTCACCACACCTCTAAGTTGAGGATCAGGATGATCGCCAAACAAAAAAATATCCGAAATTTCTTGATTGACACTTTTAACATTTTTATCCAAATAAATTAGAAGAATACTTGGGTACAATTTGACAATGCTGGATAAACAAGTCAAAGCCAGTGATTTTACTGACACCCTAGTGACTTTATCCGACACCAAACAAGTTGGCACCCCTGTCAATAGGAACGACTTGACAATCAGTCTTGCGCAGTAAATTATATTTGGATCTTTATCCCAAAAATCCCCAATGTTAATGTTTAAATCTTCGGCATCATTTTCATCGACGCAAGAATTTTTTTCCGAGGAATTTTCACTAATGGTCAAGTTATCCAAATTATCGCCAAAACTTTGACTTTTACTGGCGTAATTATCCGATATTTTAATATCGGAAAAATCGACGTCATCTGTCAAATTTGTTAGTATACTGCTGTTTGTATCTAAAGACATCGACTTGTCGAAATTTTCCTTCGGTTTTGCATAATTTTCGTTCATAACTGATAGTTTAGACTCGTCGATCCATTTTTCGATGTCCAAATGAAGAGTTTCAGTTAGCTCTGATTCCCGGTTTTCTTCCGTCGATGTAACGTTCGTGGCAACACTGAGTTGACCTTGAAAATTAAATACAGTTCATTTTTTTATCCGAACTGCGGCAACGTTGCAAATTTAGGGTTTTGGTTGGTAAATAAGGAACCAAAATTGGTTGCATTGATTAAAACAAACTAAACTAGTTAGATATGTAATTGTGGTTATGTTTAAATTATTGTAGGTTACATTGAACGGTTGTCAAGTTGAGTTGTCAAAATTCGTAGTTAAAAATGCAATTAATTTGGCTTTGGTGGAGTCCAAATAACAAAAAAATTAAATGAACTGTAACCTTGGATTAAAGAGGTTTAAATGAAACAATTGCTTACTTGGTGATTTTAGCTTCATTAAAGATGAGTGGGAACTTAACATTTTATTCTTGGCTATTCCATTTTTAGACAACAAGTTTTCCATAAATTCTTCTGTACAATTTAACAATAAAACATTTAGAGCTTCAAGAGCTGCATTAACAACATTATGATCCTTATTTGAAAGATAATATAGACAAATTTCATAAACCTAAAAAAACAAGTTCTGAAAATGGCGCACCACATACAAATTTAAAACCAAACTTTATTATTATTATTCACAAATTAAACATATATTTTATTTCTTAAACATTTTTAGAAAATTGTTTAATACAAATAAATATAAATATAAAAAAATAAAAACAGCTCATATTTACCTCTAACAACTTTTCTACAGAAACATTACAATTTTTTTTATTATTTACATCCATTTCAATGTTACTTTTACTACTTAAGTACGGTAAAATAACTTTAACACAGTTCATAACACCCAAGATTGATGAGTTTACAGTGTTGTCATTTAAGGGTGTTAACAAATCTAAAAAAATGTCTACTTAAAAATCACTATTAACAAAGGTAAAAAAACTTACCTAAAATGTAATTTAACGTGTAATTAACGAATTTAAAGGGTTTTCTGCAATATAAACAAATATTCAACACACAAGTGGCCGCTGATCGCCTTATAACAGCTTGGGTATGTGTTATATTATTCAAGAAAGCTCCCAACAGAGACTAAAAACCAAAAAAATAATGGCAAATCCTAAAAATTGATAAATCTCACTTGTATTTCATTATCAGAAGAAAAACTACCCAGGCTAGCCATAATTTTAGGGACACTTATCGCAAGAGTCTCATGAATTTGCTCCTCAGATCTTTTGGCGACCTTTTGTAAACTTGGAAATAAATTGTCAACATAAGCTTTACCTTTTAGGGGCCTTATTAAATGGGCTATCAGTGAAAACCTCCATATGGCTGCCCTAAGTGATCTAGCTGCCCCATTTCGCTTGATTTCTTTGTGTAGTTCAATTTGTATGAGGTTTCCAGTACTGGTTGCCTAAAAACAAGATTCAGAAGATGATATTTAATATTATGTTGAATTAGTATTTTTATACCCTTATAATTCTGTTCAAGCATTCCTCACTGGTCATACGAACGTCACTTTCCTGGTCATCACATAATTTAAGTAAAGCTTCGATTGTGAGCCCCAATAAGTGTTGAAAATTAGGCGAAACTTTTATAGACGCATTTGAAATTGACTCTGTGATAATATGGCAATGTAATACTTTTTCCTTTTTCCTAAAAACACACAATAACAATTGTATACATATTTTCCTTAAAAATCTTACTTCAAAACATCAGGTGTTTGGTTAGATTGGCTTAAATTCTTTAAGGCCTCCAGCGATTTCTGGAGCTTTTCCTGCGTAGCCATTCTTTTGAGTTTGGTCGGTGTAATTTAATTATTTTTCTTGCATTTGAACATATTTTTGTTTACTACTCTCATCTGTCAATACTTGACATTTGAGTTTTTAGGTTAACTTCCTTTTGGCGTGTTTTATGAAAATTTGGTTTATATTCTTTAAAATTTAAACATGTTATGGCAAAATTTAATATTTAAGATTACATTTAAAATAAAACTAAGGGGTGATAATTGTTTAATAAATAATTTTTTAAAAACAAACAGGGTCGTACTGAATTTAATTCAATAAATAGGCAGGACCGGGATTAAAAATAACAAACAAATTTAATACACGATAAATTTTATTGACAAAGCGTGATACATTCAAGCTGTTTCGGGTTTATCGAATTGAATAACCAAAAATAATTGAAAGAGATGGAAGAGTGCCCTTACTACTTCTTGCATCTAAAAAAATAAGAATACTTAATATTTTTTAATTTAATAAAAATATGGTTTTACAATAAAATGGATGAATTCTTGCCCTGCAGCGATAGCATAGCACACCCATAAAACATCGACCAAAACTGCCATAAAAGCGGTAATAGAGTCCAGAGTTCCAGCGCCAGATAAGCAAATTGATTTGTTTTTGAACATATGAGCCTAAAAATATAATTATATGTGTAAAATCGGTTTTGTTATTCTACATAATTGTATGGTTCTTTTCCAGACTACTACTTTTAATGATTGTATGTATGTACTTTTAATATTTGTATGTTTCATATATTGTGCTTAGCTCTAAGTTTAACTTTTTTTTTTTGGCCTGAAAACCTCTACTTTTCACTTACCAATTCAGGCACCTTCAGGAAAGTTAAAACAACAATAATTACAGAAGTTGCTATCTCAAAGTTGTCCTTAAAGTTTTCGTCGTCTTCTTTATAATAAGCATATCCCAATAGGGCTGCCAGTACTACTGCCTCAGCAGCAAATCTTTGTAAGGCCCACATCAATTTGGAATGAGCATACATTGCCCAAACGCCAAAGAATATCAAATATAGAGGACACATTACCACATTTGCTTGCCATTTGTAGGAGTCGTCGGTAATCATGCAGTGTTTTAGAATGATTGCTGATCTAAAAAGATCATAATCCCAAAATAACACAAAAAGTTTCAACATATGTTAATACAATATAATTTTTTAATACTTACATTAAAATATTATCAATATAGGTATGTATTCTTATTTTATCAGCTTGTTTAGTCTGGACCACTTGTATAATTTTGGAAAAGCAGTATATGGCTCCAGCTATAGTGGCCGCGGATGCTGCCTGGCCCAGCTGATCCATATGCGGTTCAAAAGTTTCTTTTAACTTATCCATTGCAAATTTTTTCTATCACTTTTATTGCCACAAAAAAATTACAACAAAAATTGACATTGACAAATACCAAACAAATAAAACACCAGGTTTGTTAAATAAAATTTAAAGTTGTATATTTTTAACAATATCAATAAATATAAAATTACGGGTATGTATAATAATCACTTGGGTTCACCTGGAATAAAATTATTTTAAAATAATACTAAACTTGTTTTAAACCTATTGCGATTTATTTTTGCTTTTGCTGATTTTTTTATTTTTTGGTTTACCAGGATATAATTGGATCAAAACCAGTTGTACCATGCACAGCAAAAAACCAATTATGTTTTGTACCTAAAAAATTATGATTAACATAAAAATTTTCAATTAAAAAAGTATATTTACAATCATAAAATTGTTAAGTAGAATAATTCCATAAATTAACCATAGAAAAGAGACTAGGGAACCCATAAGTGTCATTGGGAAAGGAATACTTGAAGCATCTTTGTTACTAATAATTTCAGCCTAGGATGAAAAAAATATTAAAACAGGTCTACAATAGTTATTTATGTCATTAGGTTAAAACGTAAGGCTTTTTGTGCTAAGCTCAAGATCAATTTAATTCAACATCAAAGCGGCCTAACCTCACTTTTTTAGAATCTCATTTATTTATTAGCTAAAGATTACATTATAATGTAATCTTTAGCTAATAAATAAATGAGATTCTAAAAATTTTTATAAATTTTATAAATGTACAATAATTATTATTGCTTTTAGAAGCAGTAATAGTTTGACAATACCTATAGGTATAGCTATAGCAGATTTAAGTAGAAATGGATTTTTGCTATTACATTGAATTCAATTAATTGTTTAAAAAATAGGTAGGTATCTAATTTCAATTTGTTTGGATTTTTATTTAAAAATAGGTAGTTTGGAATGTTTAAGCTGTGTTTAACATTTAATTTCACTGAAAACTTAAAGCAAATTAAAACTTAAAGATAATTTAAATCGTAGAAAAAGAATCGTGCGTTTTTGTGGTTGCCTAACCTCACTTTTTGTTTTATTATTTTACAATAATTTAATAAAAAATATTAAACGTTAACATAAAAACAAACAAATTAGTGCTTATTATAAATAAATTAAACCAGTTTAGTACGTTAATTTCTTAGAAAAGGATTAATTTGTCAAAACAATACCCATAGCGAGAAAAAATCGAACTAATTACTTACTTGCCTCATAAAAATTTTCATCGGCCTAGGCCATAACAAGGTATTTCTTTATCGAATGTTGACAACAATAAAGTTTAAATTATAGACCGCGTGGAGATAAAATTAATTGTTTACATTAGATTTTACTTTCTAAATGTTTTTGATGGGCTAAATTTGACATATTATGCAGATATTTTTTAAAAGGAAAATATTTAAATATTTGTTTACATATTTTTTAACATTTATAAAACATGTCTTTTGACCTATTTTCTAAACAATTATTGTAAATTCCAAAAACAAACTGTTTATCAGAGTATTATTGTATTTTTTTAGTAAGATATTAATATCATTTTTTAGACTGTATAATTTTTAATACTTAAACATTGTTTATTGATATTATTATACACCATATTTTTTCCATATTTAAAAACAATAAAATACATATTTCTTTTTTTTAAACAAAACTTACTACATCCATTAATGGGGATGCCACAAGGAGCAGCATAAGCACAGTGACAGCCAATCCATATCTAAATTCCAAATTTGCCGGGCTTTCCACAGCGGCGTAGCCAAGAAAAACGGCAGCAATGGCAACGCCGACGGAAACAGGTTGCCAAACTTCCTTGACTCTATCTTTCGAGTACGCAAAATAAACCATTAAATAAATGGAGTTGAGAATTATGGCGAAAACGTTTACTTGCAACATTGCAGGGTCGTTTAGAATTTGAGCATACTTTAAGGTCAATGATCCTCTAAAATAAACGAAAACATGCTTTTAGTTCATAAATTCTCTGCAAGATTTAAGATTTCAAAATTATAGTTAAAAATAAAAAAAAAACATTTTTTTAATATCTAAAAAACTCTTCCTATTTTTTTAAAACTTTCTATAGAATATGTATACATATTTTCATTATTTTATTAGTTTTTTTTGGATGTCAGCAATAACACATATTCTAATGCATGTGTAAAATACATAATTTATTAATAAAAATTACAACCTACATATTTTGTTCTGAATATTTGTAAACATTTTTACATTATATAGTTAAATATTTTTATTTATTCGCCAAAAATGATAAATGTTATTTAAATAAACATAATTTACATAAAAATGATAAGTAATTTATTTTTGATAACAATTTTCTGGTTGACAGATTTTATAGATAATATAATAAATTATTATAATACTAAATAATATTATAATAATATAGTATTTTAAGTAAAAGTAATAAATAATGAATCATGAATACTTACATGACTATACCCCCAATAAATGGTATAGCAGGTATCCCCTCTGTACTTTGCTTTTTATAAATGTCCTTAATTAAAAAGGCTCCCGTAAAAAACTGCAAAATAGTAACTATACTTGCTATGGACCCTACAAGTTCCTTGTGGGGCTGTAAACTAGCCGACAACCTCTCCATTTCAAGTTCCTAAAAGAAAATCACAATTAGGCAATCATTTTCGCTAAATTTATTCAAATAATACTGTTATTGAACTTTAAAGACAATTGTCCTACCTATTTTCCAACTGTATAATATAACTTATATAGCTGACACCACACACAAGGTTGTCACTTAATTTTAAATAAAGTACAACAATCTAATGTCAAGGTTTAAAAAAAGTGGGGTTATCATCTCTGTCGTCTGTCAACTTAGTGCCGGTAATGCAGGGCTCTATGCGGTATTTTGAAAGAGTTGTCAAAGTGAAATATGGCCGAAGTTGAGGTAAATTTTAATCACGTGTACATTTTTACTATAATTCGTGAATGAAGGTGCGAAATTACGATACATATTAATAAACGCGGTGTTTTTAGCTGTCCCATGTGCTCAAAGATCTCCCATATAAGGTGCAAACGGCAAGTTTAAAAGAGCGAAAAGAGGTTATAGGAAATGTCATTAATGTTTTGTCGAGTCCCGGTAAGTTATACATTTAATATATGTACTGAATAAATTACGTGTTTGTTTTTTAGATATCGGGGAGAACGTTGTGAAGGGCATTTGCAGGCTGTTGCATTTAACTTTATTCAGATACAGAGACAGTTTTTCACAAGTTCTTGTCAGAAATCTAATTCAGGTTCTATTGGAGAAACATTCCTCAGTTTCTGTAAAATGTCTCACTGCCGTTTTGGAGGATATATCCTCGCAACTAAAAAATATAGTTGCCACGTAAGTTTACATTTTGTAGCTTCAGAAATGATCTTGACTGTATAATTTTAGTCAAAGCACATGTCAGACTGCTCAGTATGCTTTACAATGGTCCACAATAGTATTTAGTGTTGGCTGGAAACATAACTCAGCTGCTGTACAAAATGAGTTGAAAAGGATTGTGGAAATACAGTCAATTTTATTGATGGCTGTACACAGTGCCGGAAATGGTAAAAGATCGTCTAAAGCTCAAACTTTGGTAAATAAAATATAATTATATTCTAGTTTGATGTTATTTATTGTGTTATTATTTTAGCTGAGTAATTCTTGGTCCTCAGTACCAGAAAGTGAGAAAATGTATCTGGAACAGTTAAAAAATGTTGAGCAAAATCAAACTGTTTGTATTATGGCCTCAGCTATCATTAAAAGACTAAGTTTTATTGGAAATAAACCTGTTTTTGAGAGTTATATGGTAAATTAACAATTTATTAATTAAAAATTAAAATTGTCATGTTTGCAGTTATTGAATAATATTGAATAATTATTTTTTTTATTTTGTCAACCATATGTTTGGTATTTTATTTTTTGTTCCATAATAAATTAGAGATTTTTGATTTATTTATTTATTTTAATTTTTTTATTCCTAAGAAAATATTGTAGAAGAAAAAAACATTTATTTTTAGGAATATTTTCTGGATACTTTAATCAAAAATTTGATTAGCTGCAAAACAAGACCCTCTGAAAACATAATAAAATCGTGTTACCCACTGTTGGAACAAATGAACAACGACCAATTCAAAACTTTGCTTTTACCGGCAATACAAAAATCGATGTTGAGAAATCCTGAGGTTATTTTGAAATGTGTTGGGCTCATTATCACTGGTTGTAAGATTGATATGAGTCCTTATGCATTGGACATTGGAAACAGTTTGATAGGTAATATTTTGTTATTTTTAGACTAGCTAGTCTTGTATACTAGAGTGGGTAGAATATCCGCCTTTTTTGAAATTAAATATATAAAGTATTAATAATTAAAAATCGAAATTTTAAGATAAAATCGCATTTATCATTGAAACCACAATAAGACTTTTTTGTAGAGAATTAAATTTAGCAACAAAATTTACAAAAATATCTAAAAAACTATTTTTTTAAATTTCAGTACTTTATTTGAATATCTTTTTTTTTACCTTAAAAATTAATACACTGTGCATAATAAGTAAAAAAAATTAAAACTCTAAAAGGCCTTTACCAATCTTTATAAAATTTTGGATAAAAATACTTTAACTTATATCTCAGTTTACGTGTTCAAGGGTTTTTCGAAAAAATATCCTTAAAGCCCTTTTATTTAATAATAAAAAAACGCTCGAAAAAAAACTTTTATAGGGATTTTTTTTAAGTAAATAAAAATATGCTGTGAAATACCGTATTTTTGTAAGTATACCCTGAAAATGTTGTACAAATCAAACGAACAGTAACAAAAATACAGCGCTTCAAAATCGTCAAAAATGAGCACTTTTCAGCAAAATAATCAAAAAGGGGTCATTTTTACCGACTTTGAAGCGCAGTATCTTTGTTACTGTTCGTTTGATTTGTACACGGAGAAAAAAGTTTATTGCTCCCAAATAAAAAAAATATTTAAATATGGGACAAGAGTACAGTTTATTTATCCTAAATATATTTTTATTCCCGACATATAAACTTTTACTAAAGTATATTTATCGTTATTATTTCGACTATTTAGAGGTAACAAACAATATATTCACTACAAATAAAAGTATTAGGTAAACAGTTTATTTGTCCCATTTTTTTCTCAGTGTACAAAATTTTCAGGGTGTAGTAACAAAAATACGGTCTTTAAAAGCATATTTTTTATTTACTTAAAAAAATTCCCTAAAACTTATTTTTCGAACGTTTTTTATTAATAAATAAAAGGGCTTTAAAAATATTTTCTCGAAAAACCCTCGAACACGTAAACTGAGATATAAGTTGAAGTATTTTTATACAAAATTTCATAAAGATTGATAAAGGCGTTTTAATGTTAGAATTTTTTTACTTATTAACCGTTAATTTTGACGCGCAGTGTACTTTTGCTTTTACAAAATTAATTCTTGTCTTGCAACTTGTTTTTTATTTTAGCAAATTTGCATTCCAAAGATGATAAAGCCAGAAAAGAGTCAGCAGATTCTTTAAAGTGTTTGGCTGAAAAAATCAAAGAAAGTAAAGCAATTGAAAATTTGCTTGACAAAGTTTTCAAGGTTTTTAACGGTTCTGATGGGAAACTTACTGTGGCTGAGCACAAAATAAGCGTGCTTGAAGTATGTTACAATTTATTGAAAATAATTTCCAAAAAAAACAAATGTGTCAATATTTTTAGGGTGCTGGAAACCTAAGCTACAACAATGTGCCAAATCCTCAGCTGCAAAATTTAATCGCCATAGCTTCTGATAGTTTCATCAAAGTTCTGGAAATTGAAGTTCATGAAAAAACTTTGTGCAGCACTTTAACCATGTTAACTCTGTGGACTTTAAAGCTGACCAATGAAGTACCCAAGAAAATCCTTGATGGACTTAAGGTAAGAAGCCTTCTATCTATATAAAAAAAAATTGTTTTTTTCGCCTTAATACAAGGGTTATTTAAATAAAAATACATTAGGAAAAACCGAATTGAACAGCCGGAAAATCAAAAAAATCGAAATTCGCGCAACTTTGGATTAATTTGAATAGATGGCGTTCGTAGCTGGGCTTCAAATTAAATGAAAAAACATAACCACAATTCATTCATTTAATTGTTTTATCGAGAAATTAGTTTAAATAGTAAATTTCTCAATTGTTTAAATTAGTTTTAAAGGTTCATAAGAATTGATAAGCGCTTATAAAGAATTTTAGGTCATATAGTACCTAATAAATATATTTTATCTCCACGCGGTCTATAATTTAAACTTTATTGTTGTCAACATTCGATAAAGAAATACCTTGTTATGGCCTAGGCCGATAAAAATTTTTATGAGGCAAGTAATTAGTTCGATTTTTTCTCGCTAGGGGTATTGTTTTGACAAATTAATCCTTTTCTAAGAAATTAACGTACTAAACTGGTTTAATTTATTTATAATAAGCACTAATTTGTTTGTTTTACTGTTAATGTTTAATATTTTTCATTAAAATATTGTAAAATTAACGAAGTGACTAGGTGCACGTTAGAGTGCCTGCAATTTATTTTTTACGGGCACGCTAATGACGTAATAGATAAACAAGGTCATCACTGCCGTGCCGCTTAATTTATAATTGGCGGCACGACAATAATATAATAATAAATTGTACCTGTATAAATGTTTATAGGGTGTCTCTCAGATTTTATTAGTGAAAATTTTGTAATCGAATCGAAAAAATAGGAAGAAAAATGTAGGTATAAGAACTTGTAAGCTCTAAAGCTTTGTTTTCAAGATACAGGGTATTAAAGTAAATAAAAAAATCACTTTATTGTAAGTTTAATATTATATTTAGATTTTTTAAGGGCAAATAAACAAATTTTTAATGATATCATCATCAGGGTTAACCCTGCCTAAAAGAGATTTGACTTATGTACTTTATAGTATTAAGTTCATACCAAAAGAACTTATCTTTAAAATATGAAAACGTTCAATTTCCTACCTAAACAAGGTGCTAAATAGGAAGTCTATACTAAAAGGAAATAAAAGAACTGATCTTTAAAAAAGAAAAAGTTCCAACCTGACAAAAACCACATAAGTTCCATCTACAACCTAAACAAGATTTGACCCGACGAAAACAATCTGAAAAAAAATAGAAAAGAGTGAGGGCCCTCCTCCTTTATCCGGGCTTGGGACCGGCAGGTTAAAAATACCTGGCGGAGTTACCCTCCACCCTCCTTATCATATTATATACCTAAAATTTCCTAAAACAGATAAAGTATTTAAATAAACAAAAACACGCAAAAAACAAATTTACTGGTTTTATACATACTCGCATATAAGATTCACTCGCACCCTGAAGTTCCAAGAAGTCCAAGATGTCCATGTCAGGTCCAAATGAAGGAATTAGGATAATAGGAAGGGTATAAAAGGAAAACGACAGATAATTAAGTTACAAATAGATTAGCGCCGGTGCGCAACAACATGCTCCACGTTAAAAACGGGTTAGCACGGATTACCGATGTTCCGAGACAAAATCCAAAAAGTACTTTCAAGATCCATCTACCATTTTAATTTAATTAAACAACCTGAAGATTGTGAAATTAAACTAAAATGGGTCTAAATGGAAGGAATAAAAAGGAGGGTTTTATAGGAAACTCCTGGGCGCCTGGTTCCATAGGATAATCACTATCTAAAACAGACTACAACGAAGAAAATAATTTAAAAAATATGTGTCCTACCCAAAAGCGAACAAATAAAGAATTAGTTTTATCTCCAACTTGAAATTTGACCTGACGAAAAGAATTTAAACAAAATTTTGACCTATGATCCCTACAAAAACGAAGTAAAAGAACTGATCTTTAAAAATAGAATAATCCAACTTACTGCCCCTAACAAAAACGAACTAAAATAACTGATCTTTAAATAAAGAATTAGTTCCATATTTGCCCTAACAAAAAGAATCTAAACAAAATTTTGATCTACAATCCCTACAAAAACAAAGTATAACAACTAATCTTTAAAAAAAGAATAAGTTTCATATCCAACTTAAAAAAAACTAATGACAATTTGACTTACGACCCCTAACAAAAACGAACTAAAAGAATTTAACTTTAAATAAAGAATAAGTTCCATCTCCAACTTAAACAAGATTTGCGCTGACAAAAAGAATCTAAAAAAATTTTGATTTACGACCCCTAAGAAATAAAAAAGAACTGATCTTTAAAAAAGAATAAGTGCCATATCCAACTTAAAAAAAACTAATGACAATTTGACTTACGACCCCTAACAAAAACAAACTAAAAGAACTTTAAATAAAGAATTAGTTTCATCTCCAACTTAAAAACAAGATTTGCCCTAACAAATAGAATCTAAAAAAGTTTTGATTTACGACCCCTGACAAAAAAAATAACTGATCTTTAAAAAAGAATAGGTTCCATATCCAACTTAAAAAAAAAAATAATGAAAATTTGACTTACGACCCCTAACAAAAACGAACTAAAAGAACTTATCTTTAAATAAAGAATTAGTTCCATCTCCAACTTAAACAAGATTTGCGCTGACAAAAAGAATCTAAAAAAATTTTGATTTACGACCCCTAAGAAAAAAAAGAACTGATCTTTAAAAAAGAATATGTTCCATATTTAACTTAAAAAAAAACGAATGACAATTTGACTTACGACCCTAACAAAAACAAACTAAAAGAACTTATCTTTAAATAAAGAATTAGTTCCATCTCCAACTTAAACAAGATTTGCGCTGACAAAAATAATCTAAAAAAAAATTGATTTACGACCCCTAAGAAAAAAAAGAACTGATCTTTTAAAAAGAATAAGTTCCATATCCAACTTAAAAAGACTAATGACAATTTGACTTAGGACCCCTAACAAAAACAAACTAAAAGAACTTATCTTTAAATAAAGAATTAGTTCCATCTCCAACTTAAACAAGATTTGCGCTGACAAAAAGAATCTAAAAAAATTTTGATTTACGACCCCTAAGAAAAAAAAGAACTGATCTTTAAAAAAGAATATATTCCATATTTAACTTAAAAAAAAACGAATGACAATTTGACTTACGACCCTAACAAAAACAAACTAAAAGAACTTATCTTTAAATAAAGAATTAGTTCCATCTCCAACTTAAACAAGATTTGCGCTGACAAAAATAATCTAAAAAAAATTTGATTTACGACCCCTAAGAAAAAAAAGAACTGATCTTTTAAAAAGAATAAGTTCCATATCCAACTTAAAAAGACTAATGACAATTTGACTTAGGACCCCTAACAAAAACAAACTAAAAAAACTTATCTTTAAATAAAGAATTAATTCCATCTCCAACTTAAACAAGATTTGCGCTGACATAAAGAATCTAAAAAAATTTTGATTTACGACCCCTAAGAAAAAAAAGAACTGATCTTTAAAAAAGAATATGTTCCATATTTAACTTAAAAAAAACTAATGACAATTTGACTTACGACCCCTTACAAAAACAAACTAAAAGAACTTTAAATAAAGAATTAGTTTCATCTCCAACTTAAACAAGATTTGCCCTAACAAATAGAATCTAAAAAAGTTTTGATTTACGATCCCTAACAAAAAAAATAACTGATCTTTAAAAAAGAATAAGTTCCATATCCAACTTAAAAAAAATTAATGACAATTTGACTTACGACCCCTTACAAAAACAAACTAAAAGAACTTTAAATAAAGAATTAGTTTCATCTCCAACTTAAACAAGATTTGCTCTAACAAATAGAATCTAAAAAAGTTTTGATTTACGACCCCTGACAAAAAAAACACTGATCTTTAAAAAAGAATAGGTTCCATATCCAACTTAAAAAAAAATTAATGACAATTTGACTTACGACCCCTAACAAAAACGAACTAAAAGAACTTATCTTTAAATAAAGAATTAGTTCCATCTCCAACTTAAACAAGATTTGCCCTGACAAAAAGAATCTAAACAAGTTTTGACTTACGACCCCCAACAAAAAAAGAACTTATCTTTAAAAAAGAATACCCCTATCATAAACGAAGTAAAATAACTAATCTTTAAATAAAAAATAAGTTCCATCTCCAACTTTAAACAAGATTTGACCTAAACAAATATTAGAAATATTCCCCAAAACAAAACACAAATTGCTTAAAGTACTTTCCGCCAACGATGTTGGCATCTTCAGAAGTGAAGGGTAAATAAATCTAAATGCTAAATCTACCATATTTATACTAATTATAAGCTAAGGTTGGCTGAACCGTAAACGGACACTGGTCCGTAATCGTTTCAGTGAACATGTAAAGAGAAATTAACAAACTAATTTAAACAAACTAGAATAGGGTACCGGTCCGTTATCGCTATTCAAAGATTTATTCCTATTCTTATAGACGTATAAACCTTCATAACTATCTAGCAGACTTGGTTCTTAACTTCCTTAATAAGTGTAAGGTTGTCAAATTTTATTCTATGACCATCATCAAGAATATGTTGGGCAATACTCGATTTCTCTGTCCTACCAAATCTAGCATTGGCCAAATGCTAGATTTTGTAGCACAGAGAAAACGAGCGGATGTTGAGCAACATTCGGTTTCTCTATACTACCAAATCTAGCATGGGCCAAGTGCTAGATTTGATAGGAGAGAGAAATCGAGTGTTGCCCAATACATACTTGATGATGGTCAAAGAATAGGATTTGCCAACCTTAAACTTACGCCTACTAGATAGTTATAAAAGTTTATACCTCTATAAGAATAGAAATAAATGTTTAAATATCGATAACGGACCGGTACCCAACTAGAGTTTGTTAGTTTCTCTTTACGTGTTCACTGAAGCGATTACGGTCCAGGGTTTATTAAACTATAATAACTAGTATAAATTTGGTAGATTTAGCATTTATATTTAGTTACACTTCGCTTCTGAAGATGCCAACA